CCTCTGATGAATGATTGCAAGGTGAGTATATGACATACTCAGCGAGCCACGTAGCAAATATGCAAGTGCACAGGATAACAAAGGATGGCATAGTAGGGTTGCATTTGCAAAAGCAGCATTTAGCAAACATTTGAGAATTCGATAAAACAGTTAAGTAATTAAACAATATTAATCCAACGCTATACAACATACCCTGTTGTATAGGCCCAACCATTCTGAACAACCACCCCGGCTGCACAGTTCTATCTCCACACCAGGAATATTCCATTCCAAACCAGGAGCTAATCAAATTATTACCAATTTAAGCATCATTTACTATGGTGAGAAGTGTGAAACTAATCACGAAAGACATTGTTAGACCCGCCCATAACCGCGGGCACGGCTATTCGAATAGTTTTACTCTGATCAGAGGTGTACCACTGTACCCACAAGACACAACCCCACATCATGTCACCATGTGCCTCAATACCACCACAGTATCTCGGAAAGGAGTTGTGACAATACCCCTCGCATAACACAATCCACTGCAGCGCACCTTCCTAGATCATAATCACCCCCTTATAAACAAGGCATGGACTCCCCAGCGACCCCCGTGGGCTTATCTCCGCCACTTCTCAGTCTGGTGCCCCGCAATGAACCATGCTATACAAAAGATAAAGCCGTTGCCCATGCTGGCTTGTGGTTGGCACGGTTAATGTTTCACAACTGAAACTCGTGAACCGGTCCTTAATTGTCATGAGCACGACCAACAAAACCATGTGCTCACAACCCACCATTACCAGGTTTTAGTTGGCACATTAATTAATTAACTAATCACGATTGACCATCGTGAACTATCATGAAACCATCATGAAATATTAGTGAGTCATTAGTTATCCCGAATGTGTGCTAATGTTTCTAAGCAGGGCTAAGCAATTATATCTAATATCTAGTTGAACCAATATAAATAAAGCTCAACTAGTCAAATTGTAATAACCCAAGGTATCAAGGAATAAGGTAATCAAGTACAAAAGGGCCATAACAAAGAATAGGTCAATTCCACCCAATGACATTCGAAAATAGATGCAATAGTTGAATAGAAACAGTAGCTTTAAATAGGATCAACATGCTCAAAGGGTTGTTTGGGATCTGTGTGACTTGCCTTGCTGGCCTTGGAACTCTTCAAACTCTTCTTCTGCGAAAACGGACTCTCCGGAAACGACGGAATCTAAGCAGAAAAGAGCAAAATCACCAAAACAGCACATAAACAAGCATGAACAGTACATGTGGATATTTTTAATGTGTAGATCTCAATTTTAGAAAAATTTAGAGACTTGAACCAACTAAATCGGAGCTAAGATGAATTAGTTATGAATTTTTAAAGATTAAATCGGATTAAAACACTTATATCGGTTAAAATTGAATTATGACGCAATAATGAATTATTTTTGAAAAGGAAAAGAGGGTTTATTGCGTCAGCGGGCTAGGGTTTGGTGGACCGGGCGCACGGGCGGCGGTTCACACGAACGGACGGCCGAGATCGAACCAATCCAAAACGGACGGCCGAGATCGATCGGGTCCACGGCGGCTCACGGCGGACGACCCCGATGACGTCAGCGGTGACGTCACCGACAGCGGCGGCGGCTCGGCGGAGGAGACGGCTCGAACGGCGCACGCTCGCCGGCGAACGGCGGCGTGAGGACGCAAACGGAGGGCACCAAGACGAAGCGGGCGGCACGGCGAACTCACCGGCGACCAAAACGACGGCGGAAGGTCAACGGACGGCGACGGCGACGAGGAGGAAGCGGCGAAGCTCTTCGGCTTGACGATGGCGACGAAGCTCCGACGATCTCCGGCGACGGCGAAGGGGCGGACGAGGACGGCGACGACTTGGCGAGCACGACGGTGGTCTTCCCGAGCGACGGCGACGGCTAAAACGACGGCGGCGCACGGCTGGAGCGGCGGCGGCGACGGCAAAGCTAGGGCACACGGCGCTAGGGCTTTTCCGACGACGAGAGGCGAAGGCGAAGGTGGCAACGGGTAGAGGAGACACCGGGGGTCCTTTTAAAGGGGCTCAGAGGCGGCGGCGAAGGCCCAAGGCGGCGGCAACGGCGAAGGAAAGCTCGGCTTGGAGAGAGGGAAACCGATCCGAAACGAACTCGATTCCACGAACTTCCAAAACGATTTAGCCAAAGATTCCAAAGGAGAAAAGGTAGAGGAGATCCCGGAGATTGTTTCCCCTCAAACAATTCGGCCGGAGAAGGAAAGGAACGGCCGGATTTGGAAAGGAACGGCGGCGGCGGCGCGCTAGGGTTTCGGGCGGCGGCGGCCGAAGGTAGACGATGGGTCCGACAGGTGGGACCCACCTGTCAGCGTCCGAACGCGCGCACGCGACGGCTGCGGACTGGGCCGAACTGGGCCGAGGAGAGAGAGAGCGGTTTTGGGCCGACTTTCGGCCCAAAGCCAAAAGAGACTTTTTAAAACCTTTTTCAATTTAAATTATTCCTTAAATGCAATTCCATTTATTAAAAATACTTCCTTAGCTCAAATAAATCCCAGAAAAATCTAGGAATTATAGAATTAAGCAAAGTATTTAATGAAATTTTATCTGGCCCCATTTTATATTGGAATTTATTAATTAAAATTAGATTTTCTTTTCAAGACTTTTAAAATTATTTCTAAAAATTCCAATTAAACAACAATTTAAATATTTTGAATTTTCAGGGTGTGACAAGGGGGCCCGTGTTGGAGGAGGAGGAGGAGCTCCAATCGCCGCTCCGCATCATGGCCAGGTCGACACTGGAGCGCTCAAGGCCAGTCCGCCGCCGTGCGTTGGGGCGCGCGAGCTATTGCTCCCTTTCCACCGCGGCCACCACCCACCTCGTTGTCGACGCCGCGGCCGCCGCCCTCCTCACTACCCACAACACAGAGTGGGGACGAGGAGCGGCGGTTGGGAGCGTGCTCCCATCTCCCCCGACGCATTCCGTCGCACGTCGCCCGAGGTCCACCCCCATTTCAAGGAGGAGCTGCTCCCGGGCTTGTCGCTCGAGGTCCACCGCCCACCGCAGCCACCACTCCGGCACCCGCTCGCCGATGCCACCACCGAGCCCCCGCCTGCCGCCGGCTCATGTCAAGGGGAGAGAGAGAGAAATAAGGGAGAGAGGAGGAAGAAGGGTAGTGAGAGAGAAGATGACATGTGGGACCCACATGTCAGTGGGTCCCACAATTTTTTTTGTGTGAATGATAAATGGGCCCCGCATATATTTTTTTTATTTTAATGCCACATAAGCGCCACGTCAATGCTACGTGGAACAAAGAACAGGTCAACACTGCCACGTGTGCGCCACGTCAGTGAAACCGCCATCCAAAACCACTAAGAGAGTCAAATTGCACCGGTTTTGCAAGTTCGGGGGGGGGTCAAGATTTTTGGTATTGCAGTTGAGGGATACGATTTAGATTCGGTGGTCAGTTGAGGAAGTCAAAGTGATCTTATTCCGTTTCGTGGCGAGGTGACGCTATGGGCCTTGTAGCATAAATCTGGGCTTATAGTGATGGGCCGTATATGAGGGATTTGTCGGCCCATAGAATAAGGAAAGGGAAATATACAGGTTTTTTCTTTAAAAAAACTGGAAATATACAGTTCAACCTTTGTTGTTACTGTACGCTGATAAACAGTGAAAAAAAACGAAGCAATCAAAAGCATTTTGTAGGTGAAACCCTTTCACCCTTTGCCCGTTTGTGTTGTGCGCTTGTGCCACCTCCTACCAGACACATCATACACAGAAAAACTGGCTTATTGTCTGCTTAGATCAACTTGCTGCGGTAAATTTTTTGGTATAAGTTTTGATGGAAAAAGATTTAGCATTGCAATTTTATAAGTTAGTATTTAGATGCATGGTAAAGTTTTGCCATTAATTGCTGCCGCCTCTCTTATGCACGGGGCCTGATTTTTTTTTCTTCAGATTACTATCAAATGACAAATGCCAACTTGCCTACTTTTTACATTTATTTTGCTAAAAAATGTTCTAAAACGGTAAAATTTTAATCATTTTAGAGGATCTAAACCGGCCCTTAGCTCAATGCTAAACCAAGCACGCACGTGTAGTGTAAAGCACCACGAACGCGGTCGATGTGATCTCCCATCGTCCCATGCCTGATGCTGATGCCTCCCTCCATCACACGCTTCCGCTGAATCGCACTCTGATCGCGCCCCGTCCACAACCACGAGCCGTGTCCCGTGTACGTGCATCCGCGTGGAGCGGGATGCGGGAGCGCAACGTCGTAACGCGCAAAGAACGGGGCGCACGCACGCCCTGGTGCACCGGTGCGCGGGCGCACAGCTGCCGCGGGGTTGGCACGCATCAACGGGCCGGGGAGTCGTCGTCGTCCTCGCAAAGAAAAAAAAATCCCCAATCATTTCGAGGTGATCACCTACCAAATCATCATCACGGGCCTGTGCAGTCTGTGTCGCGGTGTATGTGCGCGTTACTACCGGTTTCCCCTCCGCTAGTAATCACCGACTCTCCCCATTGTGTCACATGGGCCTTTTGCTTTGTGATACGGTCAGGTCATAGACAAATTCACAAGAGCCAAAAAAAAAATAAAATAAAATAAGAGAGAGAAAGATGGGATAGTGAAAGACCGAGATGGATAGGTGCGGTTTGAAAAAAAAATTAACTGCTGCAGCTTCTCCTAAAATTAAAAACTCTCTAAATGATTTAGTTTTTGTCTATATTCTGATAAAATGTAATGGTAGAATCTAAAAAATTATATAGAAAAAAAAGGTGGAAAACACAGTATTTCGCTACCAATCAGCTGCTTATCATAATTTTAAACTATCTAAACAGGCCGTATGATCATGTATCCTCGACTGCAGATAGGGCAAACACACATTTGCATAACTCCATCAGCAAGTGATTAGATTAGCTTAATTAATACCATTTTCATTAGTAGGAAAGTTGATTAGCTTCCTTAACCACCACTGCTAAGCTCAGTCACCTGGCTATAGAAAAAGCCAATACCGGCAGCTGCCTCTGACTCGTCTCCTCGTTGCTCCTCCCTACCCTAGTCGATCTCCCCTTCGCCTCGTCTCCCCGTCTCCTCCTCGCGAGCTCGCCCGCCCGCCGCCTGCGCCGAGCACCGCCGATCTCCACCCCGGCGAGCAGTAGCGGCGGCCGGCGTCCTGCTGCATCCCGCCGGTGAGCTCACGTCCTCTTCCTCATTTCTCTCCACCCGCGCCATTTCTCTTTGCACTTGACCTTAGCTTCTCTTGTAGATGTGGAAGCTTTTGTTTCGGCCTTAAGCTTGGTACTAATGGCGGTTTGTTTGCAGAGAAATTTGGGGGTTCAGCTGAACCCTCTATGCGCGACGATAGATCCGCCCTTGGGGAGTAGGGAAGGGAGGTGAGGTGAGGTGAGGAGATAGGAGGAGTTGAGAAGGCGCTGATTGTTGGGAGGAGGAGGAGGAGGAGGATGGTGGAAGGCCCCAAGTTCGCCGGCATGATGGGCGGCGTCGTCGGCGGCGCCGGCGGCCATGACGACATTGGTGGGAATTTCTGCGACATGGCGTACTACCGGAAGCTCGGGGAGAGCTCCAACATGTCGATCGATAGCCTCAATAGCCTGCAGACCAGCACGCATGGCGGTGGCTCCGTGGCAATGTCGGTGGATAACAGCAGCGTCGGGTCTAGTGATTCCCACACCAGGATGCTCAACCACCCGGGCCTCAGGGGGCATGTCGCAGCCAATTACTCGGTTGGGCACAGCATTTTCCGCCCCGGGCGGGTGTCGCATGCGTTGAGTGAGGATGCGCTTGCACGGGCACTGATGGACCCGAGGTACCCGACTGAGACGCTCAAGGATTACGAGGAGTGGACGATCGATTTGGGTAAGCTCCACATGGGGATGCCCTTTGCACAGGGTGCATTTGGGAAGCTATACAAGGGCACCTACAATGGGGAGGATGTTGCCATCAAGCTTTTGGAGAGGCCAGAGGCGGATCCGGAGAGAGCCGGGCTAATGGAACAACAGTTTGTGCAAGAAGTTATGATGCTTGCAACTTTGAGGCATCCCAACATAGTTAAATTTATTGGGGCATGCAGGAAGCCGATGGTTTGGTGCATTGTGACAGAGTATGCAAAGGGTGGCTCAGTTAGGCAGTTTCTGATGAAGAGGCAGAACAGGTCAGTTCCATTAAAGCTTGCTGTGAAGCAAGCCTTGGATGTTGCAAGGGGCATGGCCTACGTCCATGCTCTTGGGTTCATTCATAGGGACCTCAAGTCAGATAATCTCTTGATTTCTGGCGATAAATCGATTAAGATAGCAGACTTTGGAGTTGCCAGGATTGAAGTCAAAACCGAGGGGATGACACCTGAAACAGGAACCTATCGTTGGATGGCCCCGTAAGTTGAATAAAACAACTACATTAATACTATTTACCATATTATCTGTTAGTTCTAGCCGCGTGCAACACTTTATTTTAGTTAAGAGAATTTTGTTTGGTTACTGAATAAAACAACTACATTAATGCTATTTACCAAGTAGGATATAGTATGTTAGTTAAAGGCGTACTATAACAATTTTTCCTTGTTCTATTAATTGAGGATCTTTAGACTGCATAGCCATAGATGGAATGAAATTAATGCTTTGTTGTTCGGACAGTTAAGGGAAGCTTTGATTAAGAAGAGATGACAGCTTACCGTATGCATAAATGGAAAACTAGAGGATATATTCCAGCTAGGGCACCCACATTGTGGACAATAAGAGTGTTTCATAAGCATTTAGAACCTGGCTTTGTAAATTGTGACAAAGTTCAGAGCTCTGGAGCCGTTGCACTGACGGCGGGCAGCAATGGAGCTTTTGGACTGATCATGCTCATCTGATGACCACCCTATATCCACAGCTCCGCGCGTCCGCCGTCCGATGGTTGCCAACACTAAATCTGCTCGATGGGGACAGTGCCCCTTGGTCCTGGGTCCATTGGATGCTAGCGCTCGAGTAACTTCCCAGGTTCTTGCTGCCCTCCCTTGGTCTTTTCCTCTTGGGGATGCTGTCCCTGTTGCCTGGTGGTTACTGCCTCCTGGATCTACATGCCTGACTTCAGATTGCACCACTTTAGCAGGCCTTCGCTGCCTGCCCGATGACTGACTCTCAATATAAGGGAGAGGTGGATGGGGAGTCTAGTTGGGATTTTTTTTTACCATGTGGGACCCTCCTTAAGGTTCTGTTTGGTCATGTAGCAAGTTCTTGTTAGGCCTTGCTTAAAACCACGTTGGGCCTTGAGCATTAAGGATTCCAGGTTGAAATATCATATATGCAGGTACTTACCATAAATCAGATATAGGTCTTGCAATATGGTAGGGTAGTGCACATCAATTGCTTGTCTTCAGTGCATTCCTTAGTCCTTACCAGCGCAATCTGTTTACCATATGATTGCTGATAGATCTGAATTACCTTAACAGAATCTCTGTTACAAACTATAACAAATGTGTGCATATGTCTTTGCCTCGTTCCTTTTCTTCTGCATCACTAGAAGGCTTCATTTCAGCCCTTAAAATACTTATTACCTGTTATTGGGTCATTAGAATCTAATCCTGTCACCAGTTGTTACTCATTTAGGTTTGTGTAACTTTGTAGGTGAAATGTCAATCAGATTCTTTCTGGAGTCAAGAATATTTAATGTTCAATGTGATCATCATGGCTACCATCTCGGGATGCTAGTAGACTGTAGTAGTACTTAAGTTAAATCTGAGGTTGGGTACATGGTTTGATTGGTTTATCATACAAGGTCACAATTTGTTTGAATAATCTCCTGTTAGTTGTCCTGAACTCTAAATCCTTGGCCACACTTTTGAGTTTCCATCAGTGAGTACTAACTAGATTCTTTCTCAAGTCTAGTGGCACATGCATGTACATTGATGGTTTATAAAGCAAGTGGATGGTTATCTCTATAAGAAATCCAGTCAGTTTAGTCATTATTCCTCATGCCTTAATATTGCTAACACTGTGTTTCCTAGCAGTCTGGAAAAGAAGAAAACAGCATGAAAGCTAAAACTTGCCAATACTGACCTTGTTGTGTTTTACTTCATGGTAGTACATCGTAATATTTTTCAATAGGATACTGAGCAATGAGTTGTTTTCTATTTACTGTTTCAAATTGTAATTCGTTCAATACATTCATCTTATTAACTTGGTTCCTGATGTCTGACTCGCCTATTTTGATCCTGCAGAGAAATGATTCAGCACAGGCCATATGACCAGAAAGTAGATGTCTATAGCTTTGGCATTGTTCTATGGGAGCTCATTACTGGCATGCTCCCTTTCGCTAACATGACAGCAGTACAAGCTGCATTTGCTGTGGTGAACAAGGGTGTCCGTCCAGCCATACCACAGGACTGCTTGCCTGTTCTCAGTGAGATCATGACAAGGTGCTGGGATCCAAACCCTGATGTTCGCCCTCCATTCACCGAAGTAGTTAGGATGCTGGAGCATGCTGAGGTGGTGATCCTGAGCACAGTCCGCAAGGCCCGATTTCGGTGCTGCATCTCCCAACCGATGACAACTGATTGAATGAGACAACAGAGAGTTGCGAAGACCTTGATGGAAGGAAGCATAATCGAGTGTATTTATCACATGTTAGACTCTGCGCCGCTGAAGTAGAAATCCAACTTGAGTGTACGACTGAGTTATATACTCAGGTGTAAGGCAGTTCTATATTCAAAATATTTCTCTCTTAGAGTGGTGTTTTCAGACTGCTTTGGTGTGTTAGGCTCTATCCTTTTGTCGAAACATCATGCAGATTTCCTTTTGTTGTAACTGACGCATGTTCCTGCTGCTTTATGCCTGTGTTATATAATCCCCCTGCTGGAACATGCACAAACTTTGCTGCGTTCAGAGTATATAGTATGTACAATTTGAAATGTTCCCGTGGCAGAGTTCTGCTAATGCCAAGCTTTCGGTTAATCTTCCTTACCCGTTTCCTAGATTCAGCTCCTAGTTACTGGCTGAGTTTGTAGTGCCTGCCATTGATGAATACACAAGCTGTAAAATGTTCTGTAGAGATTAGCTCATTTCCATATTATCCTTGTCTCTGTTGATTGATACTGATGGAGCTGAAATTACCAAGAGTGTAAAACTGTCATCTCAACAGGAGAACTTTGCTACAGAATTGTATGATATCACAGGAAAAGATTGAGAACAACATAATTTAACTGCAAACTGTACAGAGCTCTGGCCTATATATGCAGCTTTCCTTATGGCTAAACCACTGAGCACCATTCTTGGTGGCGCTTGTGGAACAGATGACAGAACAGAAAGAAGAAATTGGGAAGGAAACATAAGACTAACATCATAACCTAACTGGAGGTGAACCAAATCCTTCTCCTCCAGCCTATAATGCAGCCTATGGTGAAGTACAAAAGAAGCAGCATTTTTTTTTTCACATATCAACCTCCTTTGATCTTCTTGCTTCCATGTGAACATCACAAGGCCCAGCTGCTTCTCGCAATCAGACATGAAAGGGGTAAGATCAACCACTTTCCTTCAAAGGGCTTGGCTCTGAATCTGCTAACAATCCTTCAGTCTCAGCAAGAGCAACAGGCTCGTTCTCAGGAACAGCAACAGCAGCAGCAGAAGCATCTTCAACCTTTGGTTTGTCCTCCCTGCTGCCCTTGGTTTCTCCAAGCTGCACGGCCCGGGCAAAGGTGGCTGAGATTTGGTTCATAAGATCCACTGGTTCCTTGGCCTCCACCATCGGCTTCTGGACCTCGGAATCAGTATGCTGCTGCTTCTGTCGCTGTCTGATATCCAGCATGGCTTTCTCCCGCTGCTCGTAGAAGTCGAAATCCTCGAGGATAGTTGTCTCGACCTCATGGTTCTTGAAGATTGTTAGCATCTGGAGCCCGTGGTCCAGTCTCACCTGTGAGTTGACAATGTTAGTTTAGTTACTTGGTGCTAGAGATAAGACCAGTCAATAGACAACCACCAAGACAGAGCAAAGCTTAAATTTGCATTCTGAAGTTAGTTTTAACTACAAAAAGGCCAGCATGGGTATTGGTCTTTTTACCTCCTGTGTGTCCCTGCTGTTGGTCACAGGCTTGTTTTCATTGTTCTCGAGAATGATGTGCCGAAGAAGGCTGTTCGGGACATCCTTGATAATGTGCCATTTGACAGGAAACTGGCCGCTCCACTTGTCTTGCTGCCAGTAATCAACACTCTTGTCGAAGTCCACAGGTCCAATCATCTCAGCCACACCACAGAACTGGCCGCTGCCATTAACCTATAGGGAAAGTCAAATTTCAAATTCATTTCATGCATGAAAAACTGCCTCAAAATCAAAATCAAATGGTAAGTCAAAGGACAAATTTTCATTTCCTATTGTTTATCTTTTTTCCTGCCATGAAAATAGAAAAGAGAAGAACAAGCAATGACAGAAATGATCATACCGAGAAAAACAAGAAAATAGGACAAGTGGCTTCTTTCTCTTTTGCTTCACGATAAGCAGCATCCAACTTTCTGTTACCACTAGCAGTGCTGGCCCAGACACCATACTTTATGCTCTTGTGTACATGATCTTCGGTATAGGATTTTATTACAAAAAATTTGGCATCCTCATACTCAATAACAAAATCATGTTGGTTGTACAAGTTAGAATCATTTATTAATGCACTTTTCCTATTTTTGTCCTCAGTTGAGGAGTTATTCACTTCTTTCTTGGGTTTGGTGGCCCGTGGACCACGGTTTTGCTCATTCATAAACTCAAGAGAGCCCTTATCATGCTTGAAGCCCCTGTCAAAGGGGCTAAATCTGCGACTGGCAGCACTCCAATTTGGCGTGCTACCTCCAAAATTACCGACTTGCTGCCGTGCCTTGTATGACCCAGAGCTGTACATGGACCCCTGATGCTGCAAAAACACAAGTTATCAGTACCTGAAAATAAGCACAGCAGAAACAATCATCGACAAATGTCCTCACAGAACCAACTATTGAGCACAATCACTGATACAATCAGTACAAATACATCAAAATACAATTGAAACAGTGTATCACATACCATTCCAGAAGCCAATGGTATGTTCCCTTGTCCAAAAATTCCAGTAACACTTTGTTGCATTTGAGCTGCAATAATATCATACGGTCATTACAAAGATGGCATGGGTTAAGATAGTAAAATATTTCTAGCATTGCACACAGTTATCAAAACCCTGTATACATAATGAGAAGCCATAGAGAGATTAAAAAGGAAATCTTACTTCCATCGAAGGAACCGAAATGCTGGTGGAACCCAGGAGTTGGTGAATACAGAAGTCCATCAGGAAGGTAATACTCTTGCATAGGATCAAACTGCGACATCCCAGTTGCAGAATTTGAATATCCCATGCTAGGAGAAGCAGGTGGCTGATAGTAAGGACTTGACAGAGGGCAGTGCAAAGGGTAATATGGTTGGCTGTCTCCCATGGTTGGCACAGGGGAATAAGAACTGTACATCACCTGAACATTTGCATATCAAGGAGATTACATTAGTAACTGACCCTTCTTGTAAAATCATGGTAGCAGAACAAGATGGTGAAAGCATTAAGAAAGAGGGGAGGTGTATAATAACCATGTACTTACAGGAGATGCAGCATCAGTTCCATCTGCACTGGCAACATGCGGATATTCTTCCCATTGACCCAGATGGTTCAAGTATCCTGTCGAAAGAACATTCTTCATTCAAATCAAGCAGTTGTAATTCATGAACAGGGTAATGTGCTATCATCTCAAAACAATAGAGCAAACATGTTCTACAGAATCAACAATGGGGAACCAAATGACTACAGTTTCCTGACTATAGTGCCAAGACAGAAATTAGTCAATCAATTTCCTCAAAATGTGTGAAGTAAATGTGCAACGTAGAGCAGCACATTAGCAAATGCCCCCTCAGATAGAACCTGTGCAGCTAATTAAAATCTAAATCTATTTCAGTCTAGAAACAAATGCTACAGTTTTTAGTATCTTCAATGCATGACAATGTGTTGGTGGGTGTAAGCATCAAGACAGAGAAACAAAAAAAATGTGCTCTAACCTCCAGAAAAGACTGTATGTGGCTGAGGGGTATACACATTGGGCTGGTAGATGAAATGTTGTTCTCCACCTTTACCCAAAAAGCTTCCCTTCTCTTGAGCACTTTTGGTTGATTTTAAGGAACTTGCGCCGTGCAAAGCAGTACTAGATAAATTATGATCTTCACTAGAGAGAATCTGACATAACACCAATCAACTGTTAGTAGTACCGAAACATTTGCGAAGAAAAAAAAAAGCTACAAGGATTATGACTGTAATAACCTGCTTTTTCACACTCACACTTGTAGAAGGACTTTTCTCAACCACAAGGCGTGACTCTAGAGGCTCCATGTGATCTATTCAAGAGGGACATCCATGTATAAGTCTCAGCACAGTAAATTAAGCCTTTTATGACAAAATAGTAAACTAAGTTGCATCCGGGCAAATTAGAAATGGAAGTTAACAAAAGGGAACTATTGCGTATAGGCGCATAAACTAAGTAACCAACTTTCATGTACAATCGTACAGACGAAATGATGAATAATGCTGCTAACATGTTAAAACAAACAAAGAACCACGGTAGAAATTCTTATTAGTGAAAAAAATATGTGGAGGCACTTCCTAGTTTTTTCTTTTGCTTAAGTTGCATTGATTCTGTAAGACCAGGACATCAGCAACAAGCTCCCATAATAAACTACACTGTAAATTATCCATGTTGGTTTGTTCAGTGATGAACGCTTGGTCGCCTAATACATCATGAACTACCATTTAGGTCATTACTTACTCAAACTTTGTTACTGACCTTGCCACAACTAGATACCTTACCAACTTACGAAGTAAATAGAGTAGAAGCTTGAGCACATGCTAACTAACAAGTGAAGAAATCACTATCAGCAAAATCGATTTTGGGGATAAATGGCATCTAAAATTGCTATTCTCCAATCAACCCTAACAAAAAAATAAAGAAAAAACGAAAAGAAATAAGAGAGAGAAGAGAAGGTCGAGATTTTACAGCATCAGAACAGCAGCGTCGTACAAAATCTCAGTCCTGGGCTAATTTTAATTTTGACCAGAAAACCATGAAAATTCGCAAATTTACCACGATCCCCACACGAACAAACACCGCCAAGATCGCGACCTTCACAGATAAACTCCCACCCAACTCCTCAAATTCAACACAGAAGATATGCAAAGTGAAGCAAAAAAAAAAAAGAACTCCAAAATCAACAAGCAACCCAAATAAAAGGGGAAAAAAAGCAACGAACCAGCTGAATCTTGCGCCTGCTGAGCTGCCGCCATCTCCAAGATCAACAACTGGCAAGCAAATAGGCGCGGAGAATGAGAATCTTGCGGCGAAATCTCCCGGCGAGGGTTTAAGAGCTTAAACTGAAACTGGGGAACCAAAAGAGGAAAACTCGGGCAAATTTATTGGGAAAAAAATCGAGCGAATTGTGAGCAACTTTACCCCCGCTATATATGCTCCATAAAATTTGCAATACGCCCCTTCACGTTTCACGTATTACCTAAACACACACCCCAAACTCCCTTGTCCCTCTCAACTACGGCTATTGGCACGAACACAATTGCGATTTGGGAACGAGGGCACCGTGTTTATCATTAGCTTAAACAAGGATCAAATCAAATCCAGTTCTATACTAGTATATCGTGTTGTTCGCTTTGATGAAAAAAACCTTAACAAAATTTAGCAAATATTTGGCAACTATACCAAAAACATGATTTCTTATATAGTTACTAAAATTTGGCAGTATACTAAATATAGCCACTTTTTTTTATAACTGTATCAAAATTTGGTAAGATTGAAAATGCCATCAAAGTAAACAGACCATTAGTTATGCTACTGCTGCATCTTGTGCTTGTCCTTGTCATCTCACCTCTTCACCCAATGTCCCTTAAAGAGAGGTTTTAGATTGCACAAAAGTACCACAAGTACAACCACCATTCGCGTTCGTTTTGTAACTAAAAAATATATTTTTGAGTCCCATTTGTCTCTGGCCTTTCTTTTCTTCCACTTAGGGTACCCAATGTGGCTACTCAACTCAAAAGTCTTTTCTTTTCCACCTCTAGGATAATTAAGTATCGCGTTCTAAATAGTTGAATGTGGTATAGATTATTCATGCGACGCTTTCAAAATTATATGTTTCTCTTAAGTATTTCTATGTCAGCATTGCTTTAAACAAGTTTTTCTAAGCTATTTATAGGCCCTATAATTGTGTAGTAATTAACATAATCATGTAACCAATATTTTTGGATCTATATTCTATCCAACCATGCAGTTAGAGCCACCAAGCTGATTAAAGTTTTTATTCTTTTCTTAATTATTATTAATCGAACTCAAACGACAATGTCATCAACTTGCTCACTTGCCCTTTGACCGTCCCTTTCTTCCTCCTGTTGTTAACCATCTTGTCACTACTCACGCTGATGCCGACCTTATTCTTGGGAGGAAAGTTTGGAGTAGCAAAAAAATAATAATAATAAAACTGTTAATCTGGAGTCCGAGTGTGAAAGCCGTGAGTAATCCGCGTCTCCATCGTCCTCTCATGCTGTAATCAAGGTCAAGACCAAGCAAGCAAGCAAGCTCTTTGATTCGAGGCTAAGGTAAAAGCAGAAGAAAAACCGTGACGACTTGACTTGTGTGTGATTTATTCCTTGTCGGAAGCAACCCTGTGGATTTTTTTTAACTTTTTAAACATTCTTAATCTTAATTTTAATTTTAAAAAATAAACATTCTGGTCACGTCAACTATCCTGGTGCAGGTGACGTGCTGTTTAAATTTTGAAAATAAGTTTAGAAATAATTTATTTTTAAAATAAAAGTTAAATGATTCAAAAAATTTTAAAAAAATCAACCATGTGCGGTGCGTCCGCGGCGGGGATTGCTCCGTGCTAAAGAAACAAAAGCGTTGCCTTTCCGGGTCCTGTGACTGTGAGTGTGAAAGAGATGGCCGTGAGAAACATGCGAACTTACACGTAGGGACACCATCAAACCAGCCAATCTCGCCAATCAAACCAGCCAATCTCGCCAACGAGTTTCATCAGAGACCGCGTAAACTTCGTTGCAAGCCCATGGGAGGGATCACCATGATATTTGCATCTGAACAGGCCGTGTTTAGTTTCTTCCATATTCCTAACTTTCCATCACATCATATTACATCAAAAACTTTCCTACACACATAAACTTTCAACTTTTTTTCTAAACTCCTAACTTTCTTTAAACTTCCAACTTTTTTCAGAAATTAACACTAACTTTCAACTTTTTTCCAAACTCTCAACTTTCTTCAAACTTCTAACTTTTTTCAGAAACTAACACCCTGAACTGGTGAAGTTAGTGCAAAACTCTCAACTTTCTTCAAACTTCCAATTTTTTTTAAGTAACTATAACCCTAAACTGGTGAAGTTAGTGCGACACCAATGGCAGGCAGGCGGGCAGGTAGCCACCATCTGAAGCAATCAGGATGCAGCAGGGATGGATGGATCATTTTCAAGACGGGTAGTAGACGAAGATGTATTGAACCACTTGTCGCATCGAACTTCTGCAGTTTACAGTGTTACAGTTTTACTTGCTGAAACCACAGAATAACAACAGAGTTTGCGACTGTATACTTGAGCTCTTGTTATGCATGTATATATAGCAACAGCTGCTTCAGAAAATCAGAAGTTTTGCATTACAGTGAATTGGAAAGAAGGAAGATTATTCTAGCATCACATGATCAACTGATATATATCCTGTTGGAACTTGGAATAGACAGGTATATATGTTGCCCTGCTATACAGACAAATTGAGGTCAGGTGGACCCTGACACCTGCGACATCCAACCATGGCATATCCAAAGAGTCCCCATTCGAGACAAGGCCTGTACAAAGGAAAAGCATTAACCAAAGCAAATAATGGCTCAAGATTCTGGTCAAATGAAAGATACGATTCTTGACAGCGACACATAATTAAATTTTCTAATGATTTCCAAGCAGTACAGTGCTATACAGAAATATCCGAGCCAAATATCTAAATGTAATTATATTAAGTGATCTACCGATAACCTTTTCTTTAGTTATTATTTTCCAGGGTCTTAACCTAGGCCTCTGGGTGATTTCTTTTCTCGAAACAAAATGATCCGTGCAGTGAGATTACAAAGCATGCTTAACACAGTAGGGAATAAAGTATGACATAGCAAGTGCATAGCTGGAGAGCGACCCTCACTGAGAAATTTTCTCAAAAGAGACAAAATCCCTGGTGGAAAATTTCTCTAATGCCGTTTCATTTCTCGGAGAATGTTTAGTACAGTAGGTGATAGCTTGGGAAGGAAACCATATATCTGAAAAACAACTAAACAAAATAAGGATATCGAAGTGCACTCTCTTCTTGTTATTTGAATTACATGCTGTGTTTGTTTGGTTTCTATTCTGAATGAAGGCAGGCCTCATTTTAGCTGGGACGGCCCAAGGCAGGCCGCCCAAATTGTATTAAGATTTGAAGGAAGGGTTTGAAAACATTTACAAATCGACATTAAACAGTCGAGAGAAACCGAAAAGAAAGGAAAACAAAACAATCCGCCACCAGCGGGCTCTTTAGCCGACTTCTCTCAAAATGTTGGTCTCCCTCCACACTGCAACTTCATTCTTAATATCACTGAAGAGCTCCGCTGCCGTTCTCGCCTTTTGTTCAAAGATCCTGAGGTTTCGTTCTCACCACACGAACCAGCAGATGAGGATACAAAGGGAGTCAAAAGCGCCCCTGTAGCCCGTCTGAAAACAGAGTCTGGTTTTAATCCACCAGTCCGCGAACTCCCAGTCGTCATCGCCAGGCAGGGGGAAAGGAGTTCCTAGCCACGTTCTCAGCAGACCCCAGATCCTATTCGTGAAAGGGCAACCCAGCAACAAATGATCACAGCTCTCCTGATCGCCATTGCAAAGGACACAACCATCTTCATGCGGCCATCCTCTTTTCTGCAAATTGTCTGCTGTCAAGCACCTGCCCTTGGTGATTAGCCACATGAAGAACTTAAGTCTAGACGGGCCCCTAGCTTGCCAGATCAATTCCGCACATTGAGATCGCACCCGTGCCGCGAAGAACATCTCATACACAGAGGCTGTGCAGAAAACTCCGTTAGGAGTGAGCTTCCAACTGATAGAGTCTTGGGCATCCTCTTGCAGCTGTACCTCCTGAATCTCATCCCACAAACGAAAATATTCCGATAAGGCCAGCGCAGAGAGACTCCCTCGAATGTCGCGCACCCAGCGATTCTGCGAGAGCGCCTCCGCCACAGTCAGCTTCGTTCTGCCCAGGTGTGTGAAGAGCAAAGGTGAGGAGACAGAGATGCAGCCCCTCGGCAACCAGTTCGCCCTCCAAAAGTCCGTATCTTTACCGTCCCCTACCTGAAACGACGCCACTGATTGGAACAGACCGGTGATGTCGTTTGTCGGTACTGAGTTTATCAGAGTCCACGGCCTTCCTCTTTGCTCCAATCGTCTAGCGAGCCATTTCATTCGCATCGCTTGGCCAAATAATTCCAGATTTTTAACTCCCAATCCCCCGCACTCCTTCGGGCTGCAGACGATATCCCAAGCCACTAGGCAGTGGCCGCCATTAACCTCCTCTTGCCCTTTCCACAGGAACGCTCAGCATTTCTTGTTAAACTCTTTGATTGCCCATTTTGGCAGCACAAGCACAAACATGAAATGAACTGGCAGCGCGGTCAGCACCGATTTGATCAGGCGCAGACGGCCGTCGGGAGAGAGCAGTTTGGGCTTCCAGCCGGCCACTTTTTTGGACAGCTGATCCAAAATCGGTTGCACTTCCGCCTTCGTCGGTCTTCTCAGGGAGAGTGGAAGACCGAGGTAAGTGATCGGGAAATTCTCAACCCTACACCCAAGCAGCTGTTGAACTCCGACCAACACATCATCATCACACCTAATCGGCGTCAAAGCACTCTTGCTGAGGTTGGTCTTGAGCCCTGTAGCTTTTCCGAAAAGCTGAAGAATGGCGTTTACCGCTGTTGCCTCCCTCTCGATTGGTTGCAGGAACACAATGGTGTCATCGGCATAAATGGATGTGTTTGGGATGGAACGTCGAGTGTCCAGCTTGGCAAGAAGCCCCCAGGAAGTAGCTTTGGCGAGCAAGCCTTGCAGCGCATCCATGACAAGGACAAAGAGTAGCGGCGACAACGGGTTACCCTGCCGCAGTCCTCGCGCCGGCTTGAAGCTGTCACTTTCATGGCCATTGAGCAAGATTCTGGTTTCAGAAGTTAAGAGCAGGGCAGCTATCCACGATCGCCACCTGGACCCAAAGCCTCTGTTTCGGAGCAAGTTCAGCAAGAAACACCAAGAGACTGTGTCGAACGCTTTAGTGATGTCAAGTTTCAGGAGGATCATAGGCTTCTTTCTTCGGTGGAATTGCAGCGCTAAACCTCTGACAAAAATGAAGTTTTCGTGTATCGATCGGCCACGGATGAAGGCAGTCTGGTTTTCAGCAACTAGATCGCCCATTCTCGGCGCCAACCGGGACGCCAAAATCTTCGTTGCAAGCTTGGAAAAGCTGTGTATCAGGCTTATGGGCCTGTAATCTTTGATCAACGTGGGCGCATCCTTCTTTGGGAGCAGAGTAATCACCGCTGTGTTGAGATTGTCGAGATTCTGATGATTCCCAGAGTGAAATTTCGTCAGTGCCGCCAGCACTTCCCCTTTGATGACTTGCCAACACCGTTGGTAGAAAAGCCCGGTGAATCCATCCGGTCCCGGCGCCTTCTCGTTTGGCATCTCTTTTATCACCTTCCAAACTTCCTCTTCAGAGAAAGGCACTTCCAGCTCTTGCAGGTTCGGCGCCGGAGGGAAGATTTGATTGAATTGGAGCTCAGCCGAGTCGGGATCCGCCACACCCAAAATTCCCTGAAAATAGTCCTTGGCCAGAGCAATTTTATCTTCCTACGAGGTTGCTGTCTGCCCTTCATACTCAAAGACTGGGATGAATAGCTTACGGCGCCTCGCATTCACTTTCATATGGAAGTATTTGGAGTTGGCGTCTCCCTCCCGGAGCTGGGAGATCCGAGCCCGCTGGCGCACTCTGATTCGTTCGAGTGACGCCAATGCCAGGCAGCGGCCCTTCAGGATTGCCCTGAAACGGCGTTCAAGAGGGGAAAGGAGTCGGTTCTCTTGCGCCACATCAAAACGGAAGATCAATTCATTCGCAATCTGGAGCTGGAGGCGAAAGCGACTGATCTTCTTTTGTCCCCAGGAACAGAGAGACATAGCAAGACGCGCCATCTTGACGTACAGGATGACGTAGGGATCTGTGCTCTCAACCGTCTGCTGCCAGGAATCCGCCACCACCTGATCGAAGTCCTCAAGCTTCGTCCAAAAAGTTTCAAAACGAAACCTTCTTCTACCCCGCGGGGTTTCCCCGCAAGAAAGCAGTAGCGCACAATGATCTGAACTGGACGAACTCAGCGCTTGCAAGTGCGCGTCCGGAAACGCATCCTCCCATTCCGTTGAGACAGGCACCCTGTCCGATTTGACCAGGGTGGGAAATTGTTGCTCGCTACTCCAGGTATACCTCCTCCCGAACAGATACAGTTCTTTGAGCTCAAGTTCATTAATCTTGTTGCGGAAAGCATTCATGAGCCGCCTGTTCACCCGCGAGTTGTTCTTGTCCGCCGCTGCCGCTATTAAGTTGAAATCACCTGCCACAAGCCAAACCTCCCCACAGATTCCTCTGATTTCGGCGAGTTCCTCCAAGAACAGAATCTTCTCGTTATCATCTTGTGGCCCGTAGACCGAAGTGAGGAAACATGAATGGTTGCCTGCAGTCCACTCCAACTTCGCCGTCACCGACCATTGTCCCAAATGCACTTGTGATCCACGGAATACGGACCCCTTCCAGGCCACAATAACCCCGCCCCTGGTATGTGACGCGGGAAGGGCAACGAAATCATCGAAATCCAGCCCACACAGTTCATGGATTACAAGCAAATCAACTACCTCTAATTTAGACTCTTGCAAGCAAACAACAGACGCATGCGAATTAACAACAGACTCCTTTACCACTCTTCTTTTTGCAGGATTATTCAACCCCCTCACATTCCACACTAGCACACTAAGACGAGACATGGAAACTAAAAACAGGGAAAACTCTCCACCACCGCCGCACGCCGCCGGAACGCCGCTCAAGCAGGGGATTCCACCCCCGCCGCCACCAGCGAAGCCAGGTCCGGCGGTGGAACATCTGCTTCCTCCAGCGCAACATCCACATCCAGCAGCTCCGCTAGCGCCTTCATGTGCTGGGTCGATAACGGCTGATCAAACACGGTAGTGTACTGCTGGAAGGTGTCTTGATCCGCTTCTTCTTCCTCTTCAATGATGCCCATCTTCTTCATCGTTACCTTCTGCGCTTTTGAAGTTGAATGGCGACGAGCTCCGTTCCCTTGTTGTTGCAGACGTGGGCTGCGCCACGGCGTGAACCCCTCAGGGATCACATTGCGCCGACGAGGCTTGGATTTGGGGACTGACGCTGGCGGCCTCCTCCCGAGCAGGGAGGGGGGAGGCTCAGTAGCGACCGACGCGAGGAAGCCCTGAAGAATCTGGTCCGCCTCGGGGGGTAGCGGCGTGTTCGCCGGCGACCCCTCCGAGGTTGGCCGCGCGCGGGCGAGTGCTGTCGACGGCGAGGCGGGAGGTGGGAGCATCATCTCTCCGCTGAGCGCCTCCCTGCTGCTCTCGATCTCAGTTTCCTGGACCGGCCGCTCGTCGTCGCTGTGGGCCACTTCTTCTTGGTGGGCCTGAGGTGGCTCGTCCTCGCCACATACAACTTGGCCCACCGACATTTCCTGTCCCACGCCAGCCACAGCCCGTCCCAGGTCAGCCTGCCCCAGATCCTGGCCTGCCAAGCCCATGAGGCCGATCCCCTCCGGCCCAGGTTGCTCATGGCTCGGTTTCTTCTGGGCCTGCTTCCGCACATAGACACGGAACTCTCCCGCCTTTGCCGCCGATTCAAACCCACGATCACTCCTGCTCTCCTGCGTTGAGCTCAGCGCGTCGCCAGTCGCCTTCAATGCTGGCCGCTCGCACCCATGCTCCACGAGCGACACCTCAGCCATCGTATCCTCAAAAGAGAGCTTCTTGGCCAACGTGCCAAAAGACGACTGGCTCGCTCTAATACGCGGCGAGGCCGACGCAACACGCGTTAATGCATATCCCCCATTCGGAGTTAATGCGACTTCCTGCCCTGAAGCCAGGTCGTCCCCGTGAACGTGAACGTGGTCCACAGTGGCCTCCCGGACCTCATCACTGAGCTCAGCACGGTCGCCATCATTCTCCGTGCCGAGCGCCGACAGTTCACCGCCGGTTAACTCGTCCAGGGAGAGTTGGAGCGGCGATGAAAGAGGCGACACACCACCGGCCACGAGCGCCCAGCTGCAGTCGTCGTCCAGAACGATAAGCGCCTTTGCCGTTGCAACCACAGGCGCCGCCAGCGGGGTAGGGATTCCCACGTCGGCCCCTGGTTGCTCCACTGCTTGCACCGCTTGCGGAGAGAACCACACACCCGGCGCTTGCAAAACCAACGTCGGTGAATGCGGCTGTGACGCCAACACCTCCCCCGCCTCCATGTCTTGAACAACAATGTCAGCCCGGTCTAGAACCCGGTCCGCCGCTGCCATGTCAATGACCCCCACCACCGCAGCTGTCAAGACAGCATCATCCTGGCTCTCCTCTGTCACCGACTGCCCCGCCGCCGGCATGGTCGCCAGGCGTTGAAGCAACCGCCTTGGCGGGGCCGAGACCTCCCCTGGGATGGGGGCAAAGGAGCGCGCGCCTAGACCTCCCGCCGAACCGGTCGCACCGCCGTAGACATGACCGCCTCCCACCTCCGTCGGCCAGGGACCAGCGCCATCGTAGCGACCTGCCCAGCAGGAGAAAGTGTTCCGCCGGGTGACGTCTTCATCATCGGAGTTGTCGTCGAAGGAGGTCGGCGGAGTATGCAACGGCGTAGGGTCAATGACTTCTTCTACGTGGATGATGACCGGATAGGTGAGGGCCGGCTTCTCCCGCGGCGGGGAAGGTGGTGTCGCGCTCGTCCCCTCCCGCCATCGCCCTGCGGCCGGGCGTTCCGGGATTTCCACGTCCAGATGGTGGGGAAGGTCGGACGGATTCTTGAACCAAGCGAAGAGACCGAGGCAGCGCGCGTCCGCCGCCGGGATCAGCTCGGCAAGCTGACCGTCCAAGCTGTTGACCAGCTTGTGCATGGCTTCCTCCTCCCAGGCGTGCGGGGGAAGGCCGTCGAGGGAGATCTTGGTGAAGAACTGGAAAGCCGAGGCCTCCGCCCAGCAGCATCTGTTCCACGGCTTGAACGAAACAGGCACCTCATTACAGAACAGCGCCTTCGAACACCGCAGGACCGCCTCCTTCTCCCTCTGGTTCCGAAACGAGATCAGGAAATCCTCCGGGCGCGTGACCTCCACCCTGAAGTAACGCTGCTGCACGCCTGTGTGCAGCTCGATTGTCTCCGCAAGCTCTGCCGGCGAGACGGGCGGCCGTCCCTTGAGCACCGACGCCATCAGGGAGAGTTCCTGGAGGTACCTCTCATGGCGCTCCATCCCGGAGGTCCAGGACAGCACCACCCGCCCCCTTTCTAGCCACGAGTCGGGCTCGCCGATGCGGTACTTTTCCACGAACTGCGGCGGCGTGGCCGCACAGATCTGGTACCCGCCCAGGTTAGCACCCGCCATGGCTATCACCGCGCCCTTTTCTGTCGCCTGTGGGGCCGGCTTGACGATCTTCGACTTCGCCGGCGGCACCTCCCTTACCACCACCTGCTTCACCTTCCCCTGTTGTTCTCTTCTCCCAGACGGCCACCTCTCTGCGCCCAGACGCACTGCCGCCCCGGATTGCCCCCAGAGACCGCCTTCCTCTCCGGACACGCCCACGCTAGGTGACCCGGGTACCAGCAATGGAAACACCTTGTCTCTCCCTTGCAGTCAAGCTTGCGATGACCCAATCCTAGGCACTTGAAGCAGCGCCCCAGAAGCCAGCGAGGGATCTCCTTCTCCGAATTGAATGCCCTGTCATGGTTGCTGAACTCCTTCCTCGGCTTGAATGCTCTGTCCTGTTTGTTGGAGGTTGGGTCACCTGCCCGCAGTGAATGCTCCGTGCTCCCCTTCCGCCGGACCTCCGTCCAAGCTGCCTCCTCAGCGGCGGCAAGGCCCCTATCTTTCTTCACGACGTCGCGCCACGAGCCGAACTGCGGCTTGGATGGTGGCCGGCGGGCACCGGAGTGGTGGTCCGCCGGGTGGTAGGTGAGAGCCTCACGCCCCATCGCTCCTCCCTCCAGGCAGGCCTCATTGGAATGCATTTTCACTCACAGTCACTATGGTGGCAACAAACGGCACAATCACTTAAAAGTTGCAATTGCTTGGTAGAAAAAGCTATTGAAAGTATAGAATCCTAACTCCAAATCTAATTTCAACTGCCTAATCATGAAAATGTATTATTTTTTGCCGGGCCAGCAAAAGGATGCCGGCCAGAGTATATTAAGAAAGAGTGCAAGAATGTGCATTATTACAAACACGCCCCCGAAAACTAAGGGCGAGAAGACAGAAAAGAAAAAAGGCTACAGCACACGGCCGCCTCCGCCGCTTACGAAGCTACAATCAAGCCCGCTGCAATCCAAGTTCTCCATTCATCTTCTATGGCCGCACAAAGGTTGACAAAAAAAATGAAACTTACTGATGAAGAAATGAAACTTACTGCAGTATCCTGGAACGAACAAAGAGCAAAAGACAAGCAAAACCTACCCATATCTTCACAAATACATCCATAACAATTGGAACCACACGTACAAAAATGGTAATTGCAGCTTGATCAGCTTCAAGGCCATAGTGTTCGAGAACCACTTCTACTAATGTGTGCCAACTTGACTCCGAATGATTATGCAAAATTGTAGAAGGGAGAACTTCAGAGAAAGGATGACGCAATTAATATGCACAGAGCAAAGGAGATAGATAAACTAGATTGGCAATCATGGATATATGACTTTTCCTAATTTTTGTCCCTTTGTAAATATTGTAACCTTTTTATTATATATTTAATATAGCGCAATAGGAGCCTCTCCTGCTGTTTCCCGTCAAAAAAAAATTAATAGTAAAATCGTGATAAAGTTCAATGGCTCATGAGGTTCATATAAGGATGGCTTCTGCACAGACTAGTTCCAGTTGAAAGAAGAGATACTGGCATTCATTTTCAGTTCTTTCTCGGTATATCGTGAATGAAAAGTTCCTGCTATGCACAAGGTGCTACCACGCAAAAGGAGAAATTATCTTCTATTTTTGGAGTAAAATATCTGTAAGATCAGAAATTTGGTCCTATGATGATGTCAGGCAATAGGATGTGGACACTTGCATATTTGTTGAATCGTTAGCACTTTACAACATGCTAAAATATACAATACAAGAATAACTAAAAGGGAAAATATCCAGTGTAAACCATCGAAAAGGTGAAAACCCATGAAAACCTGACCTAAAAGTTCTCTAAATTCATGAAAAAAATGCTAGAGATAGGTATAGGCATGACATATATTATCACAAAATCTCAAGTTCAAACTCAATTTCATTTGGGAGAAGAAAAAAAAGACTATTCACCTGAAATTTGTGTTTTTTCCCTTCCAAATAAAGTTTAGTTTGGACTTGAGATTCAATGAGCCAAGCTGCCTGAGTCAATCCGATCCTCCCATGATCGTCCTTCTGAATTCATCGCCTCCTGTTGTGCCTACCACAGCTCAACAATGGCCTCACCTTTCCCTTCCACTCTTTAAATTTCTCATCATTAGGAAGCTCTTCCTCTCCATCAAAGGCATCAAGAACATCATCTGTGCTCCAATCAGGCCAGACCCATGCATCGGAGAACCAACTCTTCCATCAACGCTGCCTCTTGCTACTCCTCCTCCTCCTCTTGGCAAACACCACCCAATTCCTCACCCTCCTCCTTTGGGAACCAACAACAAACACCTTGCATGCATGAACCCTCTTCTGAAGAGTCTCCTCAACAGTGAGCCGGACAGTGTTGGCACTTGGGCGCAGCATGCAGCAGCTCATAAACCTCATGGAAAAGATACCACATCTTCGAGGTGCCCATACAACATCAGCATCACATCACCCCGAGTACGGCTAATGGAGCCAAGAAACCTCCCAGAGAATCACAGAGCATCACAACTTCCTTCCTCTCCTTCCAGCACGTGCTGTTGCAATGAAGCACGCAACAAAGAACGATAAACAGTCAACAAGAAGGAGAAGAATCACTCCGATTATCGGTAGATCAACCTGAAGAATCCTGTACCTTCGGAGCCTGAAACACCTCGAGGAGAAGAACACGATGAGAAGGTGCTCCTTTGCGTAGCAGCTCCACCAGGTGTCGAGCTAAGCACGCGATTCCACAATGGCGTCGTCGCCTTCCTCTGATCCACCAGAAATCCATTGGAGTGGACAAGAGAACCACACACACGACAGACCGTACGCGCGGCGGAGCACTCGCGAATTTGCGATAGCGATGGCTGATGAACTGTAAAAGCAATCGGATCATGGAGATTGTTGGGCTTGGGCCTACAGCCTCCTCCCTGCTGGGCCTGACCCAATCAAGGCCACATCATGTCTTGACTCTTGACTCCTTTTTTTTCATCAGATTTCTCAAGATAAAGAATGAAATATGTGATACTAATTCATAGTACTATTCAAGAGCACATTTTCTCATATATCAAAGATAACTAGATAAGGTATTCTATTCTAAGTAGGCAATTGCGTCAGAAAAAAAGGGAAATTACAGGGCACAAGGTGGCTGTCCACATCATCTGCATCCATGCTGACTGGAAGGATGATCACTCATTCTGTTTCACCTTCTCCTGTTCTTGATACCAACCTTTATCCTTATCCAACCTTCTTGTGTTTTTCACCCCAACTGCTGGGATTCTGGGAGCATATTAGTAGAATATTACCTAACCAATTTGCACACACTAGCTGCCAAAGATGCCATCCCTAGGAAGCCATGTTGGAACAGACCACTTGAAGCATCGGTGCTCACACGACAAAACCATAAAACTCCAGCAGCTGTTTCTTTTCTTGTTGTCATTGCCAGACATGGGAGAGACGGCAGAAGGTGTTGAAGCAGGCGAGAAATATGTGAGCATACCACAGTTGGCTGGAGTTGGAACTCTTCTCTCCAATGGAGGAAAGGTGAGACTGATCATAGTATTTGATAGCCCTGATCTTCAGCTTAGCTTGTGTTCTGTTGTTCTGAATAAATATTCTCTAATTTTCTTGTGGATATACTATTTGGCATCCAAGCATGATTTAAATATAGCAAATAAACATCAATACATAGAAGTACTCCAGGGATTGGCTGTTCTGTTTCATGATCAAATCTGAGATCTCTGCTTAAGTATAAAACTGCTAACATGGCATAGTTTTTCCAAATTAGTATCAGTATTAAAACTTCACACTATGCAGTACTGCAAAAATATGTTTGCTTTTGGTTTCAGAAAGAGAAGAATTAGTTGTCTCCTAAATTTGTCATTGTGTATCAAAAACAGGAAATACCTCTGTCGTCCATTGAAGGGAAGAGAATCTGCCTCTTCTTCTCGGCTCACTGGTGCAGGCCATGCAGGAACTTTACCCCAAAGTTGCTCCAAATCTACAGGAAACTCAGGAATACTTGCAAGAATATGGAGATAATCTTCATATCACTTGACCGCGACGAGATCAGCTTCTTGGACTACTTCAAAGGCATGCCATGGCTTGCCTTGCCTTTTGACACTGGCCTAAGGCAAAAATTATGTGTGCAATTTGACATTGAGCATATCCCAGCATTGATTCCTCTGTCAACAACGCTATCTCATGGATTTCGAGTCGAAGAGGATGCAGTGAAGCTGGTTGAGGAGTATGGAGTAGATGCCTACCCCTTTGGTGCAAAGAGGAGAAGTGAACTGGAGGGTATGGATGATGCCAGGAGACAAGGAGGTAATCTTCTGCAACTTCTTGGATGCAAGGAAAGAGAATATGTCATAAGTGCAGATGGCATAAAGGTGACCAAAATCATAACCTATAAATTCGTAATTTGCTTGTTTATGCATTGCGTATGTTTAGGTAAAATATAAGGCTAGATGATGCAGACTTGATAGATGGTGCCAGTATATAGATACATGCTATGACAGTAACCTGCTAGCAAGAACCCCAACAGATTGCACTAATACAAGCTAATATATGAGCACAGTCATCAAAATCTTAATGATTGTATAACCATTAAACTGAGTAAACTGGCAATGCTAGATTAATAATAGTAATCTAGTCACAAAACAATGAAACCAACAAAATATGAATTAGGTGAAGCTTTATGAAGCTACATGAGATAAAAAATAAAGGAATATAGCTACAGGTGCAGCACAACAGTTTTTTTGGATACTATGATCCTTGAAAGGAAGCATGGACCAACAAACTTAATGTGTAACATGCACAAGCGGAAATTGCTTTGAATTCCTCATCCCCATCAGGTACAATTGGCTTTGCTTTACCATTTCACCTTCTATTATAACTCTTTCAGACTCCTATATCTGACCTTAATGGCAAGACAATTGGACTGTACTTTGGAGCACACTGGTGCCCACCTTGCCGTGCCTTCACTAAACAACTCAGGGAGGCGTACGATGAGCTGAAAGCCTTGAGACCTGGGAATTTCCAGGTCATATTCATTTCCATGGACCGCAATGAGGAAGAATTCCAAGCAAGCCTGAGTGCAATGCCATGGTTTGCTATCCCCTATTCTGACACAACTGTGCAAGAACTCAGTAGAATCTTCACTATCAAAGGCATCCCAACACTCTTGATACTTGGACCAGATGGTAAAGTGTTCAAAACAGACGGAAGGAGAATAATTTCAAAATATGGTGCAATGGCATTCCCTTTTACAGAATCAAGAGCTTATGAGTTGGAAGAAGTTCTCAAAAAGGAAAGGGACAGCCTGCCTCACCGAGTGAGAGATCACCGTCATGAGCATGAGCTTGAGTTGGACATGGCTAAGGCTTATGTATGCGATGAGTGCCAACAGAAAGGGCAAAACTGGGTCTTCTCTTGCAAGCAGTGCAACTTCGATCTCCATCCAACCTGTGCGCAAGAAAGTACTGATGTAAACATCTGAGATATTTATACTTCAAATATACTGACAACAATGATGTATGCGTTTATGTATATTGTGTCCAACAGATCTAGTGCTAATGTGGCACTGGAAAAAAAAAACTTTTAAGATCTAGTACTACGGGACTCAACACTCAATAGAAAAAACAGCTAACGTTCTGTGTCCCTGAATGCAAGATTAACAGATGGAATCTATGGGTGCACATTCCAAGTTCCAACAACAAAATAGTTATGTAATGATTTTTTTCAATAGAAGTATTCATATGTGACTATATATAATCTTGGCAAGGGATGTTCCAAAGATTTATGTAACTCATGCACTCATGAACTGATGGACCATCTCATATAGCTATCCACGCAGCTATTTCATCAAACACCTAGCGTGCAGCCGTGCAGGCTCAACCTCAAGACTTTAAGAGAAGAATATCATCTTATTTTCACGAACAGCAATAGAAAAACATCACGACCGCAATCCTCATATACCAGGCAACAACGAGGTAGTCTCAGAACTGTAGCGTGATTGGATTCTGAACGGCTTTTTCAGATTTGAACAACCTATACAGCGATCCGAAGCACTTACCACAACTTCACAAGCACTTCGACCAATCGAATGTGGCCACAGCTGAAAACTCTCTGAGATTTCTCAACGGAGAGCCTGAAAACAGCGACATTTCCTCGATCCACGTAGCCTTCGCGGATTTGGCAGGAAAAATCAGGGGAGAGGATGATAAAAGAGACTGAACAATTTAAAACGGGAGAATTGGACGGCAGCAAATTTAGCAAATATCCCCTTGTACATATTCACAAAAGGGACTACATTTGTTAAATATTAAACTAAGGTCCTTTGTCATTTCCAATAAACTCTTTGACAGCCTCAACCCATTGCAGCCATGGTTTTTCACGTCAAACTTTAACTGTCTGCCTTATTTAAAAAAAAATTTAAAACATAAATCACGAGTAAAATACTATTTATATTTTATCATCTCATAATAACAAAAATACTAATTATAAAATTTTTTAAATAAGACGGACAATTAAAATTAGGCGAAAAACTTATGGTTGCACTTGAAATGAGACGGAGAGAGTATTAAGTAAGGGTAAAGGGTCCGTACAATTGGTTATTTTTTTCTAATATTTACTTTGTTGTTCTTATTTCTTATTAGGAGTATTTTTTTTTTCCAAACTACTAAACGATATGTTTTATATAAAAATATTCATAGAAAAGTTATAAAAATCATATTTACCTATACAAAAATTAAAATTAAAACTTAATTAATTATATCCTGGTGAATCATTTCATTTTGCAAATTAAACTTGCACCGCCGTATTTTTTTAGTTTTGAGCCATTGATGATGGTTGATAGACTAATTAATTACTGGCATGTACTAATGTTCTTCGTGTCGATTACCAATGCTAAATTGCGATTAATCAGCATTAATTCGCAAAAATCTACTATACTATTTTATTTAATCAAATCGCTCCTTATCCGAGTCAGAGGGGGAAAATCAGGGTGTGATTATTACCTTTACGATTTACCCCTCGCTCCATCTCTATATTTGCGTAGAGCTCCTCCCGCACTTGATTCCCTTCTCGCATCGTCGCCCTCGTCTCGAAGCCAACTCGCGACACCCAAAACCGAAAAAAAAACCAAACCCTCGTCACTTCCCACCTCTTCGGCGGCGGCGGCGGAGGCGGCCATGGCAGCGGCGGCGGTGGCCACGGTGAGCTCCGCGAGCGGCATCCTCGCGATGCTGCAGGAGCCGGCGGAGGAGCTCAAGCTGCACGCGCTCGCCAGCCTCAACTCCGTCGTGCACCTCTTCTACCCGGAGATCTCCACCAGCATCCCCACCATGTGAGCGCCCCCTCTCCCAACCGCTCCCCCGCCATCTCTCCCTTGGGTTTCCCCCCGCCCTACCTAGTTTCCGCCTCCTCGGCCTCGGCCTCGGCCGCCGTTGTGGAGGCTGTAGCTGTTCGATCCGTCCCGGTGCCGTGGCTACGCCTAGGCTTGTTGGTGTGTTGATTCGATTGCCCGATTGATGAGTATCGTGGAGGGGAAGTTTCCCTAGTTGCAGCTGATGTTGCGTGATTCGCTAGCTTGGACTCGGTTCGGTTCGATCTGCAATTGGAAACAGTAGGTTAGGTTTTGTTCTGACCTGTAAACTTAGGGAATTCGGTAGTTTAATGCGCGGCTCTGTGCTGTTATACCTTACTAATCTATAAGATTTGGAGTGCAATTCACATTTTTCTTGCTGGTCATCCGTATGTTTGAATTGGTACCCCAGTGTAAAATTCTGAAAATTTTTCTCTTAGGACTAGCTGTTGTATTGAACAGCAGTTGGTTTTAACTGAGGAGGAATGATAAATCCAAAGGGTTTAAACATTCAGGGTTCCAAAGGTTTCTGATTCTGCAACTATTGTTCTTTTTATGTGTACTAAGTGAAATCGTATGAGTTAATTGGAACTATAGGGATTGTTTTAACATATAGCAAGGAAAAAATTGCCTGCTTTATTCTTTTCTGTCAAAATTTATTTCTATTGGGGGCCAATGTGGTTCTGTTGAGGTGGAACAGATAGTTCAGTTGCAGTATAAGTTTTGACAGCTAGTTGTTACTGATGTATTGTTTGTGGTTTTGACAGCTAGTGTGTTTATCTTTATGTTCTTTATGAAACTGTTCTAGCTTGGTCTATTTTGTGAAGCGAAGCTTCATACAATTTTTATTTACAAAATATATTTGTTAGTAGCTAGTACCTACAAAATCAGTATGATGTGAAAGGACTTTGAAGTATGAATATAATGGTATAATTTTTATTTACTAAACTTGCTAACTGCTGGTCAAAATCTACAAAGTTTAAATATTTGAAAAATCATGAACATGCTAAATGATGAGGAAGGAAAAGGAGTACTTGGTATGTTGAGAAAATATAAAAAAGTTACATCATGGAGCTTTTATAATCTGTTTCTACTGTTCCTTTTTCTTTGCAGTGAGAGCCTGTATGAAGACGAGGATTTTGAACAAAGGCAGCTCGCTGCACTTGTTGTTTCTAAGGTAGCACTCCGTACATAATTATGTATACATTTTTAACGAGCTTTTTATCTCGTTTACTGATTTTTGTTGTATATCACACAGGTATTTTACTACCTTGGGGAGCTAAACGATGCACTGTCCTATGCACTTGGTGCTGGGCCTCTGTTTGACATTTCCGAGGATTCTGATTATGCTCATGCTCTTTTAGGTGAGGAGTTGTCTGATGTTCTCAACCATTAGGATGTTTGCTTCCAGACTAATATTTCTTTGTCATCTACTCACCATGATGAATTCCTGATTTTCCTATCTTCAGCAAAAGCATTGGACGAGTATGCCCGTTTAAAGACGAAAGCTCCTAAAGGCGCACGAGGAGGAAGAAATATGTGGACCCCAGATTAGAGGCCATAGTGGAGAGAATGCTGGAGAAGTATGATAAAATCCTCTTATTGTTGATATGTCAGCATATGAGATGGATCATTCACCTATTGTTTACATTATCTGATATTCTGTTGATTATTCTTTATTGCAGGTGTATTCTTGACGGTAAATATCAGCAGGCCATGGGAATGGCTGTTGAATGCAGGAGACTTGACAAACTGGAGTCGGCGATTGTTCGATGTGACAATATTCATGGGGCTCTTTCGTATTGTATCAACCTTTCCCATCAATATGTTAACCACCGTGAATATCGATTTGAGGTAGGGTCATGGAACATCAAATTCTCTGCTCTTAGTTTACTTCTGTCAGGTTGGAATATAATTATCATTTTAGAGGTGGAATCCCAATTTAGCATACAGCAAGTACTGCTAAAAAAACTAAAATATATTCCAACTGACCAGATCTCCAATATACTGTCTTTACAGGTTCTTCGCTGTCTTGTTAAGATATACCAAACATTGCCACATCCAGATTACCTGAGTATTTGCCAATGCTTAATGTTCTTGGGCGAGCCTGAAACTGTGGCAAACATATTGGACAAGCTGCTTTCTGGAAGCAAGGTATGGGTCTCTTTACTCTTTTAAATGGCATTACTTAAATGTCAGTTTAACTTACTAAAGATTATATGTTAATATCCAGGATGATGCTCTCCTTGCGTACCAAATTGCCTTTGATCTCGTTGAAAATGAAAATCAAGCTTTCCTTTTGAATGTGAGGAATCGTCTGGCTTCACAAACTCCTGAGTCTAACCCTGATAGTGGATCGGCTTTACCGGATGATCAAGCTGCTAATGCGGGTACGGGCAGCACAGAACCAGCTGGGGATGTTCAGATGAGAGATGACACAGCTACACCAAATGGTAGTTCTCACACAGTAGATCCAAATGAGGTAGCACGTGCTGATAGGCTTGCGAAAATAAAAGGAATACTGTCAGGGGAGACATCTATCCAGTTGACACTGCAATTTTTGTATAGCCACAATAGGTGAGCTGACTATTACTTGCTAACTGAGCGTACTATTTACTTCCTCCGTTTCACAATGTAAGTCATTCTAGCATTTCCCACATTCATATTGATGGTAATGAATCTAGATAGATATATATGTCTAGATTCATTAACATCAATATGAATATGGGAAATGCTAGAATTACTTACATTGTGAAACGGAGGGAGTACTTGCTAACCGTTGATAACCAGTCTTGCAAATTTCCATGCCTGGTGCTGATTTGATGCAACTTGTTTGTCTCAACAGGTCGGATCTTTTAATTTTGAAAACAATAAAGCAGGCTGTGGAAATGAGGAACAGTGTTTGCCACAGTGCAACAATATGTACCAATGCAATCATGCATGCTGGAACAACTGTAGACACCTTCCTAAGAGAGAATCTGGTACATTTAGTTTCTATTTGTTGTCTTACTGTTATGCAACATTTTGGCCTTTGTCCTGTTCTTGTCTCATGTTGGTTCTTGCAGGAGTGGTTAAGCAGGGCAACCAATTGGGCTAAATTCAGCGCAACCGCTGGACTAGGTGTCATTCACAGAGGCCATCTTCAACAAGGGCGAGCTTTGATGGCCCCCTACCTACCTCAAAGTGGTGCCGTTGGTGGTGGTAGTCCATACTCAGAAGGAGGTGCCCTATATGCCCTGGGTTTGATTCATGCTAACCATGGTGAAGGGATCAAACAATTCCTTCGTGAAAGCCTTCGCAATACCAGTGCTGAGGTGTCCTTTTATTCCTTTCCTGTCTTTTTAATCTCATGTCATTCATGTCATGCATATTTTGCTTACTTCTAAGCAAATTATATAGGTGATCCAGCACGGAGCCTGTTTGGGCCTTGGGCTTGCAGCTTTGGGAACAGCAGATGAGGAGATATATGAGGACATAAAAAATGTTCTTTACACGGACAGTGCTGTGGCTGGTGAAGCAGCTGGTATTGGAATGGGCTTGCTTATGGTTGGGACAGCCAGTGAGAAGGCCAGTGAGATGCTTGCTTATGCTCATGATACACAGCATGAAAAGATTATTAGGTCAGTGTTGTTTGATTACTGTCAGGGTAATTTCTTATATTGTGTTATGCTCTTGTTCTGACATCTCTCTCTTTCCAGGGGTTTGTCACTTGGCATTGCGTTGACAGTTTATGGCAGGGAAGAGGAAGCTGACACCCTGATTGAACAAATGACAAGGGATCAAGATCCCATATTACGTTACGGTGGCATGTATGCATTGGCTCTAGCCTACAGGGGAACTGCAAATAACAAAGCCATACACCAGCTGCTGCATTTTGCTGTATCAGACGTCAGTGACGATGTTCGGAGGACTGCAGTTATGGCTCTTGGATTTGTTCTATACAATGAACCTGAGCAGGTATGTGCACTATCAAATGGTGTACTTTTTATGTCTTCATTTAATTTGATGATTCGCCTTCATTAAATTTGATTTGTGCTGTGAACATGCTTTAACGTATTATGTGTTTGATCAAGCAGCATCTCTTCATAATATTTCCAGCTAATTGTTAGAATAAACAAACACTGATAGCTTTGATCCACAACTCACTTCTTTTTTGTGATTATGCAGACTCCTAGAATTGTGTCCCTGCTCTCTGAATCATACAACCCACATGTCCGTTATGGTGCTGCTTTAGCTGTTGGGATATCATGCGCGGGAAGTGGATTAAGTGATGCAATTTCCTTGTTGGAGCCTCTCACATCAGATGTTGTTGACTTTGTTCGCCAGGGAGCTCTCATTGCTATGGCGATGGTCATGATTCAGACTAATGAATCCTTTGATTCTCGTGTTGGAACATTCAGGCGTCAATTGGAAAAGATCATTCTTGACAAACATGAGGACACCATGAGCAAAATGGGTGCCATACTGGCTTCTGGTATTCTAGATGCTGGTGGCAGGAATGTCACAATCAAACTTCTCTCAAGGAACAAGCACGACAAGCTTACTGCTGTGGTTGGCCTTGCTGTTTTCAGTCAGTTCTGGTACTGGTATCCTCTCCTGTATTTTATTAGCTTGGCCTTCTCGCCAACAGCCTTCATTGGACTCAACTCCGATCTTAAAGTACCGAAGTTTGAGTTCTTGTCACATGCTAAACCATCCCTCTTTGAGTATCCCAAACCGACAACGCAACAGACTACGACTTCAGCTGTCAAACTGCCGACAGCCATTTTGTCAACATACGCCAAGGCGAAATCTAGGGCAAAGAAGGATGCAGAAAGCAAAGCTAACCAGGAGAAAGCAACCGAAGATGCTTCTGGCTCTAGTTCAAGCAAGGCCACCAAAACTCAGGAGAAGGATGCCGATGCAATGCAGGTAATGATAGCTATAATTCAAAATTTCTAATGATTGGGTTTAGTATAACTCTTTGGTTTTAATCTTTTACCTATTGTGTTTGAATCCAAGATAACAAACTTTGCAGAAAGCAGCAGCTTCTACTCTGCTGCTCGCTTTCTGGTTGTGGGGATTTGTTGATCCAGTGTCAACTCTTCTGCTGTTCAGCACATAACCAACTTCATTTGTTCCCAGGTTGATAACGCGGCGGAGAAGAAGGCTCCTGAACCCGAACCAACCTTCCAGATCCTCACAAACCCAGCACGCGTCATCCCTACCCAAGAGAAGTTCATCAAGTTTATCGAGGGCAGCCGATATGTCCCGGTGAAACCTGCTCCATCTGGATTCATCCTCCTCCAGGACATGCAGCCAACCGAGGCGGAGGTACTCGCACTCACCGATGCCCCCTCAACTGTGGCTGCGACCACTGGTAGCGCCGCTGCTGCCACAGGCCAACAGGCCTCATCTGCCATGGCTGTCGACGACGAGCCGCAGCCACCACAACCTTTCGAGTACACCTCGTGATGGTAGAAATGTAGGAGGCTTGTAATAGAGATCTGGACTCGCAAATCCTTTCTTTCCTACTGTATACGTTGCTTATTCTTTTTTGAGTATGTAATGCGCGGAAATTTGTTGCTGGAAAAAAAATAACTGATGAATCGTCCGTAGAGAACTTTGATGGAGATTATACGATGGGTCTTTTGAGTTGGGGTATCGACTGGCAGCGCAAGCCGCAACCTGCATCGCGTCCTGTGATGCTTTGAACTTGCAATGCTTGTATTCCATCGTTTTCCAACGATAAGGTATCAGAACTTGAAATGCTTGTATTGCATTATTCTCCAACGCTAAGGTGTCATGCTTGTATTGCATTGTTCTCCAACGCTAAGGTGTCATTAAGATTTGAGCACGTCTTTGCTTTGTTGCAATCTTCGGTTGCGATCTGCTTACCATTTGTTGCAAAACACACCCTTTCGCCTTCCTTCCTCCTTTCACCATTGGTTGCTTGCAAAGCCAGCGAGGAAGGCGCCATAGCTAGCGAACACCGAGCTGCCGCGTCAGAAGGTTCAGAGAAGATGAGCGTGCTTTCTTATTCATCGTATATTCGTATTCTTGTTTTGGGGAAGATTAATGTTCAGGTAGAAACATTTAGCTCTGCGGTTTCTCTGTTACAGGAGTTTTGTGGTTAGAAAACGAAATCAGTGAGCATTAGCTTCTAAGCAATGCAACAGTGTTGCCTTCCATCCCTATTCTTGTTCAGTGATTACTCACGGGGATGCTTGGGGTAACATTTTAAACCTGTTATTGCCAGTTACCCCTGGGTCCCCCAAAAAAAAACTAGATTTATGGGTGGTCTAGATTCATTGTACTAAGAGGATAGTTTGAGTTTTTTTAAGGACGGAGGGAGTAATTACTAAAGCAGAAGATTTGCCGGAACAAACAGTATCGTAAGAACTAATATTGGTGGCCATGAATCAAAATATAGCCAACTGAAAAACCATACCACGAGACGCAAGCAAATTAGCGCACAGAACTCTCCCAACTGGTTTACATCGTCAAAGCAGACAAGCTGGTAACATCATGCAGCCATGTTGATAATCAAGACCGAGCAACATTCTCAACCTCGTCAGCTTTGAAGTTCGGTTTGGACCTCTGACCGTGCAAATTCAGTGAAGCACGAAGAAATCAAGACTTAAATACGCCCATAATCCCCAGGATGAGAAACTACTACAGTGGGCAAGTTATCAAAACCGCTATTGGATACACATGCTGGTGGTCATTGCAAGTAGCGTTACATGATTTCCTTCACGCTGATACGCGCTTCGAGTGTTAACAGGCTTGTTCATGATGCCGTCCCCTTGCAGAGTAACACCTGAAGTTGCACTCTGCACACACACCCACAGTAGACAGTGGACTGGTAGCGATTTGATTCAAAAGGGCGATAACAAGCTCGAGAAATCAGAATCTGTGAGGACTTGTAATACACAGTTGTTCTGAAAGACCTGCCAAAAGAAAAAAAAACTTGTCAGTGTTGAGAATTGTAGCTACAATCCGCCACAATGGTATGAACAAGACATCACCTATTGCTCCTGGTTCTTGAGTTCCGGCTCCCTGAGGGTCAGCTTTACATTGTTCTCCTCATTAAGGAGAGAGAGCTTCTCAAGCGAAGATTTTAGTAACGACATCTGGGAGTCCGAAACATGGCTTCTTCCGACCTTTGGTGTCTGCCATGTTGACATTCCTGTACCAGCCGCACTGCCAATGGCCGGGTGAGCAAATCGTTTCATCCTCGCACTCAGAGCAGTGATTGAAGAGCACAACGCATCCAGCTCCACATCTGCAAACCTATCTGCAAAAAAGAAAAGGCGGATCCAAATAATGTTAGCAAATGAAACTGTTTCGAAGAGTTTAAAGATCACCTTTCTCAACTACAGACCTAGCTGTGCTTTGAACTCCTGCTCTGCTTGTGACAATGGTTTCTTGTTTGCCGCAGGAAGTATCTTGAAGCCCTCGATGCGTTTTTCTAACAAATCGTATACCTTAAAGGCCCGATTTATCCGGTTGTTTATATCTTGGTCTTTGGCTTCTATGGATAGAAGTGATTGCTTCACTGCTTGCAAGCGTTTCTGCTTGTCCTCAATTTCTGTCTTCAGGTAATCCCCATGTTCCTTGAGCTCAATGAAAACCTAAGAATCATTAAAATAATATCTTGATCATTATGTTTGCCTATACTCCCATTTATTCTCATCTGATTAGTGATGGTACATTTATAGCTAATAGGTTTGGGGATTTGGGCATCTGCAGGTCCTATTAATTCTAGTTGCCGCTAACCATTCACCAACAATGACAAATGACATGTTCTGAGGTCTGGAAATATGTGAATATGATAAGAGTTATATGCAAAGTATCATGGTGACAGTTTCTTACCTTATGCCCATACTCCACGTAGTACTCATGGAAAACTTTAATATAGTGATGAAGAGTGGATTTTCCTTCAATAGAGTCAGGGGTCAATGACCTCAAGCTTGATGAAGATGGAACTATGGGTGGATCTGGACCTGCGATGAGCTCTTTACTGATCATTCCAGTTGTAAAAGATTCCACGTCCTTAATGCTCTTGCTGTCTATGTCAAGCTGAAGAGGCGTTGGTTCCTTCCAACCCTTCATCTCCACCACAAAGCACTCACCTGGGCATGTAATGCTGACTAACTGCACATGGCCATATGCATCTGCTATGGTAACAAAACCAGAAAGGAAGGGAGAATTTGCCTCATTGTTTCCTGTAGTGAGGATAGGATGCACAGAGGGTGGAGTGGATGCCATTTCAGGGTATGAAAATGGCAGGAAGTGCAGTGTGACCATGTCAAGTCCCCCACCATGGGCACAATAAAATCTCTCTGGAACAAGGGGATCTAGAAACAATGATAAAGAGCTATCATTGGAAGTTTTTGCTAGTGCTAAATCTACAATTGCGAGTCTTAGCAAAGGAGGAGAATGCCCCATCCAGACAGCATCAGTATTACTCTTCACATTTGATCCCGTACTGGACGGGCGATACGATCGCATGGCCCAAGAATCTTCTGAATTAGAGTCACATATCATAGCAACACTCTTTATCTGCCCATGTGAATCAACATTAAGGCGGGTAGGAATTCCTATGCTCCACTGTGGTTGAATTTCATCAGCAAGAGCATCAATCTGGAGTTGCCCACTACCCCAGGCAGTTACAAGAATGGAATCTTTGCCAACAGAACTATACACAAAACCCACAGCTTTGCCTTCACAAGAGTTGCTCTTGCTTTCAGGTTCATTGTTTTCTTCGCAAACTCTACAAAGAGGTCCCTGCATGGAGTATCAATCAAATCATATTTACTAATGACAAAAATGTAGAAGATAGTTACATGTACATTGACAATAGGTAGCTATAGTTTGGATTATCAGATGTCATATCAAGAATGATTGTCCAGTTCTACAAAAATTACCAAGTAAGCTAGTCTAGTATTTTGATAATTTCTCTTTCACAAAGTACAAACTACATCAATACATTACAACAATACAAAAAAAATGGTAATAAAAAAATATCTTAAGTACCAGATTTGCGGTTGTTTATTAATTCAAGAAATTCCATATTCAGTACCAGAAACTAATTTACAGAATTTTGTAGACCTAGAGTAATAAAGTCAAATAGCCTCCCCTAATGTTTTCCGGTCAAAAAAATCATACATGATTTTGTAAGACAGAAGTTTTAGTTAGTGCTGTCTCTTGTTTTCCTTTCTTTCTGTCATAGCCATTGCGAACTGGCCCAGAAAAACATGGGAACTATCTGGACAACTTAATCCATGGTTTAGGTCATGACCAAAACTGAGTACAATAGTAATTATGGCCATTCTTGAGCCAATGAAGCGCAAATCTTGTGCACACCAGGGTTCACATTTCCATTTTCAAGGTGAAAACCACTTTCGGTTTACCAAAAACTAAGCAAAAACGGGTAAAATCTGACAAATTTGGTCAACTCCGTATGAAAACCATCTAAAAACACTCAATTTTCACAAACCAATCCCCAACAGTTTCACGAAAACCGAGCGGCTTTTGCGGTTTTCGATCAGAAAGGTGAACCCTGGGGCGCACTACCAATTCCAAACTGTGGCAGCAAATCGTACTAGCACAAAAGTTTTCATGCAGACATGTGAATGCGGTACATGTCTGCGGTAGACACCGCCGCTACATGCAAGTTGTGGAAATGTCTGGTCGCAAACCAATCAGCTCCTAACTCCTACAAAACAATAAATCTCATATACTAAAAAACAATGGATTGATTATGACCAGCTGCATGAGCACCAAATTCACATTTCTCTGGTCATTGCATTAGCATAGTCCACTAGCTTTTGGTTCGAACAATATTTCACCAAGTCAAATAGAAGCAGACCTGTAAAGTTAGAGAATCATCTAATGATGCGTATGGATGAGCTCTAGACATCAATGCACTATTATCAGCTGGCTGACGTGACAAGTCAGGAAACGTTGCTTCCAACCAAGCAATTGCCAAACGTGAGTTGGTGACAACATTTTGGTTTGAGGATTTCAATCCAAATGAATTAACATCTTCATATATTTCTTGAATATGCTTCTTATTGTAATCGCTGCATCACAGGGAAAAAAAATAAAGTCAAAACCAATATGCAGATAAAGAAAGGGCACCATATGATCATATCATTAAGGTCGCATTTCATAAATACAAGACTACAAAGTGAAAGTGTGAAACTGCAGGGACCATAATTTATTTCCCATAAACAAAATTAGTACAGTATTTTTTTTGTTTTAACAAATTAGGACCATCATGCTGTCAAATTGTTGTAAGCCTTCTTCCCAATAGAGAGAAAAGAGGGGTGGGGGAGGGCAGAAATAAATGCAATACTTACCTTCCAAATGGAACAATGGGGCAGAGCACAAAAATTGAACCATCGCTGAATAAGATGAAAACCTGTAAAAGGACAGGCTTACATGTGAAATTAAGCACATAAATGAGCCATTAAACATACGAAGTATGCCGAAACTACTAAAAATATTACATATGTCGAAACAACCAATTGAAAAGGTGACATGAAAGAAAGTGATGCATAAAGTATCAAAAGTATTCCAGTAACTCTTTCATGAATAGTGGGGACAAACATTATTAGATGTTCCAGAAAAAAAGGGTTTGGGCGTAGAAACCATGCAATCAGCTGCCAAGTTCATTTATGTAGTAATATGACTTGTGACACCCTAAATCTTGCTACAGATGTAAATAAAGAAACTACAAGGTTAATCCCATGTGTGAAGCAAACAAGTACTCCCTCCGTCCCAAAAAAAGGCAACCTAGGTGGGGATGGGACACCACCTAGGTTGGTTTTTTGTAGGACGGAGGGAGTAGATTCTATAAGGCTAATTCGGGTAGGACTCTAATATCCTATTTTGTGGTTTAATATTAACTATGCTATGATATTGCTTGCTAAATTACAAAACAATCCCATCGGATGAAAAATCATTCTGGTTTTGTTTTCAGCTAATAAAGACACTGTAGATCATTTACTATATTTTTTTCCAGATGACTTCTACAATATTTAGGGGATCAATATTCAAGAAACATACCGAAAATCTATCCCACAGATGATCACTCCCATATGAGAATGCCACTGGACAAATTGATGAAGCATTCTGGCATTTGCCAGGTAGAATTGGTTGCAAATAGAACTCCTGCTCTGGTTGCTCTAAATCAAATGACAGATCAAATAACCTGCAGAAATAATAACAAAACTTCTATAAAAGGGTCATGCAATAATTATTTTTAAAAGCAAGTGTTGTCTTCAATTAATTTAAGTGTGGATGTAAAAGACGTATTTCCATTCCAATCAAATCCAATAAATAGCAAGGAAGCATAGATAAAGTGGAATTCCTCCATCTAGCATCGATACTCATTTATCAAACCTGAAAACAGCATCTGATGTCAAGACTCCAAAATGACTACTGCTAAAAGGGTGCCACGATGTTTGCAGTACTTTGATGCCATCATTGTTGCTAGGTAAGATCTGAGAAGCAACTGGCACAGTCCTGTTGTAAGGTCCATATGTACAAGTCAATACAATGAAAGAAAGAAGATATGAGTAATGATATTAAAAAAAGGAAGAGAAATAATGATTCAGGTCATAAATCTAAAGAGCAAGGTGAAATAAAATTTTGGAGTTGCGTTCTTCAATACCCTGATGATAAGAGTACTCAGAGAAACCTACTCTTAGTGTTCACGGCTATGAATATGCTGCATGTATATATGCAACAACCTATTGCAGCTTAAATAATTGCAAGATGGTCGGGAAAAATACCAGTACAATACTAATAACATAAGATAAAGCTATAGTGGACTTATGTACCTGCATATGACCTTATCACCATCTTCAGAAACCCTCTCATGCACATACAGAATACTTATGTTATGTGATCCAGCAAGTAGTAGCGATGAACCGTCGGTATTAAGTGATAAATGAGTGACCTTGTAACCAAGATCAGTCTCCGGCATCAACATCTGGACAGCATAGGCAACATCAGCTACTAATTACTACCTCCAGTATCAAAAATAGCATGACACGATATGTTTATTTCCTGCAACACATTTTAAACTACAAACCCCCTAGGCGACACTAAGAATTCCATTTTTTGCACTCACTAGCACAACATTTGTTAGTGAATTGCAAGTTGACCTAATTCACAAACGTGAAAACTCAAACAAATGCCTCCAGTTCAGTGTCTAGAAAGGAATTGCATCACTTTTACAAGTGAGAACTGACACAACCACAAGAGGAAACGACCTCACCTCGGAAGGCACGGCGGCTTCCACGGCGACATCATCCCCGTCCTTCCCCGCCTCCGCATCGCGAACCCGCACGCATATCCGGTGTACGCCTCGCGCCGAAGGGTCCCACACGTACAGCCGCGACGCCGACGCATCCCACGCGGCGCCGCCACCGCCGCCGCCGAGCCCTCCCCGCCGTCCCCGCGGGAGAATGCGGGGTGAGAGGGGAGCGCCACCCACTGAGCCGCGGCGTAGGCCCTCCTCGGCGACGGCCGCACCTTGGGCCTCGACGAGGTGGAGGCGGAGGCGGAGGCGGAGGCGGAGGAGGACGGGGTGAGCGCGAGGGACGGGGAAGGCGAGTGGCGGCGGCGGGAGCGCGGGGTGCCCAGGGCAGCGGGGGAGTGGCGGAGGGGAGGCGGGGATGAGGGCGGCGAGGACGGCGGCGGCGGCGCGGTGATGCGGGTCATCGCCGCCGACGAGGTCGAGTGCTTGCCGCCGGAGAAAGAGAAATGCGGGGTTTGGGGTTTGGGATGGCAGGTCAGGCCTACTTGTCCATGGGCCTTAGAAACAAATAAGTGGGCTTTTGGGCTTTTGAAGGGAAGTGAACCGGTCCAGCCCGTAATGGCATGACATGTGGGACCTACCTGTCGGGCTGTTCCACTACCTCCGTCCAAAAATATTATATTTTGAGATGCTTCTAAAAATACATTTTTTGAAACATACTACAGCGCAGACGCTCACAACTTACGCACACTCACCCCTATGAATACACGTACACATATCTTTCCCCTACGGGCACTTTCAAAAGATGAGAAAATTGCTTATAGACATTAGTATATTACCATAAAAATTATATACGCGTATGTAAAGCTTTTATTAGTATTTTAGTAACATCAGGTATTTGTTGCTACTTCCTCCGTTTCACAATGTAAGTCATTATAATATTTCCCACATTCATATTGATCTTCATGTATACTCATTAACATCAATATGCATGTGGGAAATATTATAATGACTTACATTGTGAAACGGAGGAAGTAATATTTTTTTACTGTGTTTTAAGGGTATATTGATAAGCGCATGTAATATTGTGTGTGTTTGTGCATATTAGGTGTTAGAAATTAAATGTTTGAGATGAGCGTAGCTCAACAGATTAGATTTCTTATGATTTAGTTGATTAGATTTTTTATGGTGGAACTAACCCATTCGAGTCCAAGTAAGATTTGATACGGGTACTCGCATTTATTTTTTTTCAGTGGTAAGCAACGTAGTGACTTATTTGTTAATCTCAAGATTTGCTAGCCCAGTTTTTTAAATGTGCTCATAAGGATGAGGTTTACATGTGTGTTTTTATAGGGTGAGAGGGTGCGTACGTTATGAATCTCAACATTTTCATTGTTTTTCTCAAAAGGAAAACATAACTGGTGAGACATATCAACAGGGAGCAATTAAAACACCCACTCATCGGGGATTTAGATCCTCTAATGTAACTTTTCTCTGACGTGATGGTTAACATATGAGGCCGAGAATGATAGGGCCTACTGTACACGTTAGTTACGGTAATACTAACGTTAGATATATCTGCTTCCTCCACTGGCACGATGAATACCAGGAAACCCGGAGTTATACATTAATGGGTTGCAGTCATGGCCTTGCCTGTCGGCTGTCGTCTCCAATCTCCATGCATGTCGACGGACGGACCGGCCGTGCATGACGCATCGACGACACCGCCTGCCGATCTGCCTGCAGCCTGCTCGATCCATCCATCGATGATCCAACAGCATCACGTCCCCACCACAAGGCAGGCACTGCCGCAATTGCATCCCTGCAACACATGCATGCATCGGATCACTTGCCGTGGATTCATATCGCAGCCGTGACGGCGTACGGTGCCGTTGCCGTCGTCTCGTACAACTGTCAAGCCCTTTTTCTAACGGCTTATTAGAAAATAGAAATAAATTTATAGATAAAACTTTTATATATGTGTTCTTGGTGACTTAAAAGTCAATGCTGAAAAAGAAGTTACGTTGAAAATATCTCAAAATCAATATTAAAATTAAGTTTGAAAATTTAAAATTTAGCTTTTTCTTTGATTGATTAGGCCATCCGATGAAAGCCTCAGTGAGCTTGCATAGCTGCAGCTGCAAGCTGATCTCTCCTTCATATCGATCCACACTGCGTCTTCGTCGTCATCTCTATGATCACCATGAGGGGAGCTAGCTGATCGATCAGTTAATGCAACCCTGTTGTATATTTGCTCATGCTGGTGCTAGCTGTAGTAGCTAGCTAGATTAATTTGCCCTTTGATATTAGCTTCATGCCTGATTAATTTTTCCCCCTTTCCCTTATAACCTCCTATGATTGTGTCAGTTGGTCGCAGTTGTAAAAGTTTTTTCTTCTGTTAAATTGTTAATATATACGAGCATGTAAGGTTTTCGCGCGTTGGAGAAAAAAAAAATACTATGCTGCCCATTCTGACGAACTGTTTCTCTGCCTGCTTATTTCTGGACACGAGCATCAGCTACGGGCCAGCCAGACAAGACAGCAAAACGTGAAGATCCTAAAAACCTTGATGCATATATAGATCTCTGTCATACGGATGATTGGACAGTATGGCCACTATGTCTGCATCCATACATGAGTGTGCTATGATCATGATCATGATCAGTATACGTAATATTCAGTATAGCTTGGATCGGAGTATTAAGCAATTCATCAAACCTCAGAATTCTAATGACAGCAGGAGTGATCTGTGATCTTAATCCATATATATCTCCTCCTCTGCATGCAGCCATCGTATCAACAGCGCTGACGCGTCATTATCTAATTGCATGTGCTACCTGTTCATCAGCATTTGACAGGAGCGGTTAGCTAGCTGGGCATCCTTACGACAGCAAGATCGCACAAAATGTGGCCAACGATCTGGTCGGATGAATGGTATCAGCACATTTAGTTTTTCTTTAAGACTCTATCAGCACATTTGGTTTATGTTTGCACTTCTTTTCGACCATGAAAAAGCATTTTGTCATAGAGCTAATCTTGCAGAGCATATATATAGTACTGACGAAAGATATCGACTATTGTATATGTCGTTATAATTAGTACCTCTGCCATTTTCAGAAATGGAGCAGCTATCTAACGTTTGCCAGGCATAATCTGAAACCTTGATATCTTCTCACATGACTGTTAGTTTGCTGCTATAATTAAGCCCTAATTGGTCCTACACACACATGAAACATCAGCTAATGCATGAATATCAGATTAAGTGTCATGTGCCCCTGTATCTTTCTTCTGTAAAACCATGTGTGTATATCTCCCTGAATTTCTCTTCAGAATGCAGAAACTGAGGCACAAACACATCCGACACAATTAGAAAGAAAACATGAGCAAAAAAATTCCTCGTATCTCATCACATGCAGCTGAATAACGACCATTAGTTGCATAAGGTTCTCATGTTTCTGTGTTATTGGCAGTTGCAAACACCCCCACATGTACAAGGTTTCCTGTAACCGTGGTATCCATGCTTAGATCAGAACAAACAATGCTGAGTGGCCTTAAAATCAAGGTGCCTTCTCACATGGCGCTGTGCATGGCAAGAGCATTTTGGTTCATGCTTCCATGTTCATGAAACATGAAAACATGTCCAACATATTGCTTCAGGCTTATTAATTACTGTTATCTAACCACAGGAGGACTGAGCATGGTCAGTTACTTTGCACCACTGTTCAAGTTCAGAAGAGTTGATCTTTCTAATACTACAAGACTTTGTGCAAGGAGTTAAGGAGAGATGATTGCATTGTCTTTCTTCCAAAAAAAAAAAGGTGTGATGATCGCATTGCCCTGTAACTTGATCCCAAAAGCTTTTCCTGCTTCAAAGAAAAATCATTATCTAAAGAAAAAGGCAGCTCAAAGAAAACTGCTGGAACATGCATGCATAAAGGTCTTCTCTTCTTAATTATGTCTTAGACTTTATGTTCTACTAGTAATTATACAGTTCTCGATCCTGACTTCAGGACATCAGGTCAAACACTGATACTATGTGAGTTTAGTTGCTAGAATCCAGAAAAAAAATGACGCATGAGAGCCTTTAACACTGTTGCTTAAGCCATTTGATGATAAGATCAACTGGAAGATTGAATTTCACTACAGGGTGCATACTTCCAGAGCAAAAACACCATTGTACACCGCCTGATCTGGATATAAATTTGAACATAAATTCTTTTTTTTTCTGCCAAATTATATTAAGATAGTGAGAAGTGTTTGAAGATTAAAAAAGTGCGTTTGTCGTGTTACAACTTATAAAGCTACAATCCGGAAAACTCAATTCATCCATTTTTTTACATGTTACTTAAAAAGTCATCAAAAATTTTAAAAAATTTAGTAGGATAGATCAATATATAATATGTCACTTCATAAACATGCAAATTCAACTACAATCCATCTTAACTAGGTGATGATTTGAACATAAATTCGTTGTGGCTTCTATCGTTAGGTGATGATTTGAACATAAATTCGTTGTGGCTTCTATCGTTATGGAGCTCAATTCCGGTAAGAAAGTAAAGCTGTCCAAAAAAAAAATCAAGCTCGATTTGAGTTTAGCTAAAGACCCAAAGCCTAAGCCAAAGCTTACGAGTTTTACCGGGGCGAGCTCGAGGTCCTACCAAATCTTACTGTGTATAGCTTTTATTATTTATTCATCTTGTTAACTTGATAAGCTAATAGATAAATATATATTAGCACCTATCTACACAATAAATTAGCATGTATTGGCATCATATATTTATCTTAGTCATTTTTCTACTTTTTATTAGTGTGATTACATGGAAAATACTTATACTTATAAAGAGGTTGTCATTAAAATATTCGTTGTACTACTTATATGGACGAGCTTGCTTAAAAAGCTCAAAGGTGAAATAGGCTTAGCTCAAGCTTGAGTCTAGGCAGAGAGCTGACAGCCCTATAAGAAAAGGAGAGCTTCTGACCTTCTGTAATTCTATGAAGTATGGACCATTTGTACGCCAAAGCCAACTTGCCGTGAAATCTCCCATTCTTCTTGTGCATGCGCACTCCCATTCTTCTCATCCAATTTATAATGCTGTAGCAAGAAATCTGTCTGCCTGTGCATATAAGATAAGATAATTTCAATGACAACAAAGCAGTCTTCTTCTGTCACAAGTCATTTTTTCCTTTGTTAGCAACTACCAGTAGTTCGTGATGCAATGTGCTGCCTGATAAATGCACTGCAATGATCTACGTACCCAATGCAATTATGCATTGAAATGCAGTCGTTGGGACAAAGGCCCTGCTCAAGGAGCTGGAGATTTAGAGAAGCATACCAAGAGAGAGTATATATATATATAAGGTTTCTCATCTTATAGCTGCTACTAGTTCATTATTATTTTTTGATTATGTAGCTATTGATTGTCAGAATTTGAGTAAAAATTTGAACTATTATTCAGGAAGAAACTATAGTCGCTAGAAACTTCTCAAAGAGGAACTGGGTATAGAGTATTAGCTAGCATCTGAAGGTACGCTACGTCTGTCCTTGCAAGGTACTTGGGCAATGGTTGGCTGGCAACTCCATCAATGGCCATAAAACTATTGGGCTAGCCAACCTACGGGGATGCTCCATTACTTGGTTGACACTTCGCAACGTGCAGAGCACATGCTACTCGGCCGTTCGCTCACCTTTCACATGGATCATGGACGGATGGATGGATGGATGGATGGCTCTTGGTGGCTCTTGCAGGCTGCAGATCGAGAGGCTCCTCATAGGGATCGGCAAGAACCCTGAAAAACAAGCTCAGATGTTCAGTGGTTGACGCTGAGTTCGCATTCCAATGCTCATTATTGGACCTAAAGCTCTTTATACTCCATCCGTTCCCTAATTTTGTAGGATTCAAATTTTGTACGCAATATAGGCCTGGTTTAGTTCTAAATTTTTTCTTCAAACTTCTAACTTTTCCATCACATCAAAACTTTCCTACACACACAAACTTTCAACTTTTCTGTCACATCGTTCCAATTTTGAAATGAACTAAACATAGCCATAAGCATTTCTAGGACACCGATTTCAAAGCACGAGAATCCAACCATTTTCAGCCAATCGGATGCTTAGGAGGGGAATTCAAACAATTCAAAATTCAAAATTTGAATTTTAATCAATGAGGTAACTCAAAGGAAATATTTTCCATTATTCCTCATCTTTATTAAACAACCTATAAATGCTTATATTTAGGAACGGAGGAGTACAACCCTCTCCGAAACTGGACGTGGAACGTGGTGATGTGCTGAGTGAGTGGTCAGGGGTTTTTGTTCTGCCTGTCACAATCTTGATCTTGACTAGCACAAGCCATGCATTGCATCAAGAAGCAATGCATAGGATCGAGACCAGCGTGTACACGAGCTGAGGTCATGTTCTTGACAAAGCAGCTTGAATTGTTCATCACATTGTCACTTTGGTAATCGTGGTGGACTTCAGGGGATCAGCATCTAAGTTTAAAATGCCTCATTGGGTTGAACAATCTTGTGTTCCTAGTCAGAGTTTCAACCTATGCTTGGTATTCATTGGAGTGCGAGGCAACATTTGATCGAGATATGCTAGTAAATTGCTGGATTAGAGAAAAGGTCAGAGAAAGATGAAGATATAAGGTCGGTGAGTGATCAGATCGATGCATCCATTGCATCTGCTTTTCTTGGAGTAATATGGGCATCACTTGGCATCTTTTAAAGAGGTCTCTCCCCACATTTCTTGGACCAAACCAAGTTGGGCAAGAGCAACAAAGGAACAAAGCCAAAACTGATGCCAATTTGGAATCAGTTGGTTGCTCCTTTCTGTTCATAAAAGCGACTCAAGTTTTTCCTTTTTGTTCCTTGCAGAAAGAAAAAGTTTTGCTTTTTGTTCAGTCTCCCAAGAAAGGAAGAAGGCGATCAGACAATGAGACAAATCAGACATCAGAGAACAGATCATCTCTCATAGCTGCATTACGTAATGGATAAATAGGATCACATGAGTATTCCTACTAGATAAAAACTGTCACTAATGCATGCTCACATTGTCTAATGAAAACCACAACATAAAAGAGGAATCCAGAGGGCATCAGAACCTGAAGTCTGAAGATATTGCGCGGCCAACCTTTTCCTTCAGAAGGAAAATCCTTAAAATTCAGAGTGGAGTGCAGGACAATGGCTATGAGTCAGAGTCAGAATCTGGGAGCAGCTGAAATCTCATGCAATTTGTGGTATGGAGTTCATCGAGTACACTCACAAGGCCACAAGCACAGTGCTATAGCCTGAAGGTACTACAGTAGCCTACAATTGTTTGCTGATTGTATGTTTCTTTGCACTTAGGTGTTGAACAGTGCTTGGCAAAACAAAGGTACTACTCTGATATTTTTTTCAGAAACTGATACAATGAAATTTCAGCGTTTGAACAAACTATAACAAATGATCCAAAAGTAAGCATTGATTCCATTAGACAGTACAGCCTCTCTCCAAAAATAAAAGGATGGTACAGAGACGTGCACGAGCACTATATAGTCAAGATTGACATAAACAATGGCGGTGAGATGTACTACGGTACTACCACTATCACTATAGAGGAACAATAACAGCAAAAGCACTGAAAGGCAGAGGTAGAAATTCTTACTGATGGGGCATTCTCCATTTGAACAGATCAAAAAATCACCGGCAGAGGTAGAAATTCTCTCTGGCACTTCAACAAATCAAAACGAAGATACTCCATTTCCATATCAACCATAAATATTTTCCATTAATTTCATCCATGAGGGCTGCATTACCCAATTCAGATCATCAGCTCAACTCAACAAAATAAGAAAAAAAATATTACGCAGTAATTCTAAGCTTAGGGGGGAGATACTATCAAATCATCCCTCACCATCCACAACACTTAAAAACACAAATCGATAAGAAAAGAAAAGAAAAAGAAAAAAAATCCATTTCTTTTGGATGGATGAACAACAGCCATGCTAAAAACCAGCAGCTACTACGTTCCTCTTCATCTGCACAATGGGTTGTTGGGGGCGCCGAGGGCGACCTCGTCGGCGGCGTACTCGTAGCTGCAGTAGCAGAAGGCGGCGGCGTTGTCCTTCTTGTTCTTCTCGACGGCCTTGAGGATGGCCTCGAAGGCGGGCACCTCGCAGGGGATGCGGAGCACGCCCTCCTGCTGGAACCCGAACTCCTCCTCCGCCTCCCGGAGCAGCGCCGCGAACGCCCGGTGCTTCAGGTAGTCCGTCGGGATCACGAACCGCTGCGCCGTCGGCCCCACGCACACCGCCAGGTGCCCCCTCGGCGGCGGCGTCCCCCCCGGCGACGCGCCGCCGTCCGTGAACGACAGCGTCCTCTTCAGGAACTTCTTCGCCTTGCTCTCGCCGCCGCCGCCATTGCCGGCGGTGGCGGCCGCGTCTTTCGGCGCGACGGAGAGCTTGCGCCACTTCTTGAGCATCTGCTGAAGCCGCACGATCTCGGTGATCTTGTTCGACTTCTTGCCGCCGCCGCCGCCGGGATGCAGATGCTGCTGCTCCTCCATTTCTGCGGTTTCTTGGTCGCTAACTTTTTTGGGGAAATTTTTCGTGTTTTTTTTCTTCTCTCTTTGGCGTTTTGGGCTTCGTTTGTTGCGTTTGTGCAGTGATGAAGCTTTGGAGGCGTTCATGGAGGGGTAATTTATAGGGAGGGAGCTTGTGTGGGGCCCACCTTACAATAGTCTAATTAATTATTTTTCTATGTGTTTTTTCCCTTCTTCTGATCTAGGAGTAACTAATGGTGTTAACTGAATAATTAATTGATTAGAGGTTTCTGCAGGTAGGTCAGTAAAGAAAAGGGGTTGCCAGTTCGGGGAATCTGAATAGATTTCTGATTGCTAATGCCATCTTGGGGAAAATGCTGGCCAGAGTCTGGCTTAATGCAGATCTTCAGAGCAATAGCCCTGCAAATTCATTTTTCTTTTATATATAATCATAGGGCTACAGTTATGTTTATTAGAGCTGTATGACTAATTAATTTGGAATATATGAGATGATTGAACAAGTTAAGTGGCAAAAAAAACAATATGTTTATTAGAGCACTATGACTAATTAATTTTGCAAATATGAGATGATTGAACAAGCTAGTGGCAGAAAACAAATATCTTTGCTAATTGAGACGGTCAACATTCGGCTTTAAATGGTTAAGCAGTGAACCTTTTTTCTTTATCTTCATCAGCTTAAGTAGACCATGATTTTTAGGAGTTATGGAAAGTAGATAGTGTTACGTGATTCAGTCAATGAGGCGATTCTGTTCGCCTTTTCTGTTTCGGATAACTGAAAAAGTCTGTTAAGCATGGGTTGGAGATTTTCAGATCCTAAGAAATTGGATCTAAAACATATACTGCCTTCACCTGAAAATATTCAGTCAAACAAATCTGTTAAACTCCATTGCCAATCATTATTGCTTCAAATCAATGGCTAGTTGGCATTTGACAATTTTCTCTGCTTCTGAAACAGATCTACAGCAGTTCACATTTTCAGATCCTTTGCAGTTTTGGACGGCCAGGAATCCAGCATGTCAATGGCTGATGGAGCAGAGGATAGGTTTCACATCAGAACATGGCTGTTGAGCCTTCTAACATGTGATCACGCACTTAACAATAATGCTGTACCGGCTAATGCATTATAAACTACTCCATTTTCTGCATCAGTTCAGCTCTGCTTAACCAGCTAGCCTGTGTGATTGCTGCTCTAATCATTTTTCTTCTGGCGGTTGGCAATGGCAGGAGCAGCAGCAGCATTGACTTGATTAGTTTTTGGCAGGGTTCTTTCAGATTTGGGGATCTACGGCATCGTCCTTTCCATCTCACCGATCGGTGATACCGTTCGTCTTGTCGCCTAATTAACACATGGATTTTCATTCAACGTGGTGGTTAAAGAGAGGCGAAACGTATGGTATTCTTCATGGCAAAGAGGTTCAGAGCATTGTCTCTTCTGAATTATGGTAGGTTGCAAATGTGATATAGGTTTTTTTTTTGTGGTTCATGAGCTGATTATTTGGTTGGTAAGATTACTTGCGATCACGACAAAGAACCAAACCGGTAGCAAATACTTCTTTTTTCTGAAAGATCAAACCGGTAGCAAATCATTTGCTCAGTAGCGGCAGATTCTCTGAACTTCTTTGTTCCCTTTTTTTCCCATTGAAATTTTGGTCTTTCTCTTGTTCTGTTGCTCATCACTAATTAAAGCTATCCTTGACTTGATATGCTTCTTCTAATTAAGGTGACTCGAGGTGAAATTAAAAGCATATGTTGTCCTTAAACAACAGCTAATTAAGTGATTAACACGATGCACACTTGGTTGATGACAAGTGGCTGTTTCTGTTAGTCTAATTAAGCTTCTCAGGCATGTCATGGACTGAAGCTTTTCGAGTGTGTTTTTTCACCTGTATAATACTCGCAATTTGCCCTGGTATACACGTGACATACTTGAAAGCTCCAGTATAATCGGCACTAATTAATGAGAGCATCTCCTGTCACTTAAACCACAATTAACAAACACGATGAGTACTGTTCGACAAGTACAAGTTGTTGTACCTTCATCATGAACATAAACTAGACAGTAAGAAAACCATAAAATCTGCAATGCCATCTAGCATCTCTTTTGGTTTCTAGAGGTTGCAGGTTGTAACATGACACTTGTGGCACATACTAGTCCACTAGGTAGAAAGAATCTACGATTAAGATTAGCATGGATGTATTAAAGAAAAACATTGTTCTTGCTAGCAAGCTCTACTTGGATCAGAATGAACATGACTAAATCACAGGTTATACTCTGGGGAGTTTCTCACAAACCGTACAACTTGCAGGCTTTGTCATGTGAAAATCCTCTTGCATTATGGTTTTAGTACAGTGTCATGCGAGTCATGCCACTGATTATTTAATTTATTTCATTCACATCTCCGAGCAAAACAATAATTAGCTGAACTAAAACATGTCACCAAATTTCACAAGGAACATTCTGGACTATGACTCTAACTTGATCTTAAATTTTGAGATCGAGTACAGCAGTAAACCATTGTCACATTGTGGAATGCAAAATGTGTTTGTGATATCCAACTTCAGCTCTGACCAAGTGGCCGCCCAGTTAGTACAAGTCTGTCAAGATTTTCCAAGTAATTTTCAGTCAACTCCATTGTACAAGAAACACACACAAGCAGTTCATAGAGAACACAAGCTGAATTCTTTTTAAGATATTTCACCGGTTGATTGTCGCGAATTATTTATTCTGTGCCTCTAAAAATAAATTTTCTAAAAAAACTTACTGCATTGCATAGATTCCTTGTTCTGAGCTATCAAACTATTTAATTTGTTATATTTATAATCATGTTGATAATATACTATAATAATCTAGTTAATCTGCTTCAACCCGCTAGAAAACCATCAGCTAGTATATCCGGTCTCTGCCGCTCACAGGATCAAATGCCAAAACTGCCAACGGTCAAGTCCTTTATATCTTAAGTTAATCTCCTCGCGTGTACTGTCAGTAACCGTCCTATAACATTAATTAACACTCCTAATTACGGTTTAAAAAAACACACCTAAACTGTACGGTTACCTCTGCAGCCCTGGCCAGAAGAACAGTGAAACTGAAGACTGAAGAGATTCGCGGCCGGCCGGTCAAAAGACTGACCAAACCAAACCGGCAATGGCCGGTGGATGCAGAGGAACAGCGCTAGTAGTATCGGGAACTGCGACTCTGCCGATGCAGCAAGCTATTGACGGTTAAATTAGTTAGGGAATGCTTGCACAGTCAAACCCTACAAGAGATAGGCAGATGAAGTTGATAGCTAGCCACCTTGCAATGCTTTGTTCCATAGTTTCAGGAAAAGAAATATAATTTCTGATAATGAATTTGGACAAGCTTGAAAGTTTGAACGGGTCGTTTTATCCTTTGTCAAATGACTCAACTGTCGTGGCTAGATTGGACACTTGTTTCTTCCGTGGTTACTGTTTTTTGAAACGGATTTTCTTGTTTGAAGAGAGTTTTTGAAGGAAAATGTCTGAAGAGAATGTGCCTGTAATTGTTCAGAACTTCAGATAAGAAGTGTCAGTCTCCAGAAGAAGCTGATGTAAGAACTTGTACTAGTACTAATCGACTGGTTGGATGCTAGTGGAAAAATCGCTAGGCTAAAACCAAGAGTAATTTTCAGATCACATCTCCTGTCCACTGGACCTGAACTGCGTGTGAAACCAAACCACACCCAAGAGCGATCGGCAGTCATACTTATTACAGACAGAATCACAGAAATGAGGAGCTGTGCACTGTGCTCGTGTCAAAAATACCACATTTTATACAGGAGTTCATGAAATCTGCAAGAGGTGATCCACTGTGAAGAGACAAAAAGTGAAATTCGATCGTTTGATGCAGTGCAAGGGCTGCCGCTTTGGTGAACCATTGCATGCGCTTTAGGGGGGCAGCACAATATCGAAATGCCGCTGAGCTTTTTCTGCAAGTCCAACAAAGTAGAGTACTACGGTGTACTACTACTCCTCCACTTGTCTATTGCATTTGCAGGTTTTTGCAGCACGCTTCATAGGCATTCGCGTCTGCTTGCGAGAGTGCAGAGACACAGTGTGGTCACTCTCAGAGCATATTATAATCTTATGTAGAGGAGAGAGGTAGAACAAAGTCAAAGGGGTTGGCTCTCATGCAAGAGCTAGTTTAACATAATCTCCAAGACAAATGCATTAAATGTATAAGTGAGAAATAGAGAGAGGAAAAAAAAATTGTAGCTAACCTTACAGCTAATCTATCTATTATATAATTAAAGGAATAGAAAAAGGAGCCTTCACGTTCGCTTTCATGGCTTAGAAATTCTCACATTAATCAGAGAAAAAGAAAAAACAGAGTCCATATAGAAATACAATTTAGAAATAGCTAAAATCTGGAATTAAAAATTAAAAAATAAGGAATATTAGAAGAGGAGACTAGAGTCCATATAGAAATACACTTTAGAAATAGTTGAAATTCGGAATTAAAAAATAAGGAATATTATAAGAAGAGTATAGAGTCCATATAGAAATACAATTAGGAAATAATAGAAATTCGGAACTAAAAATAAGGAATATTAGAAGTAGAGTATAGAGTCCATATAGAAATACAATTAGGAAATAATAGAAATTTTGAATTAAAAATAAGGAATATTAGAAGTAGAGTATAGAGTCCATATAGAAATATAATTAAGAAAAAAAATAGAAATTTCGGAATTAAAAAATAAGAAATATTAGAAGTAGAGTATAGAGTCCTTATAGGAATTTAAAACTAACTAAAATTCAGAAAAAAAAGGAGCCTCCACGTTCGCTCTCATGACCTAGAAATTCTCACATTAATCAGAGAAAAAGAAAAGGCAGAGTCCATATAGTAATACAATTTAGAAATAGCTGAAATTCATAATTAAAAAATAAGGAATATTAAAAGAGGAGACTAGAGTCTATATAGAAATACAATTTAAAAATAGTTGAAATTCGGAATTAAAAAATAAGGAATATTAGAAGAGGAGACTAGAGTCCATATAGAAATACAATTTAGAAATAGTTGAAATTAGGAATTAAGAAATAAAGAATATTAGAAGAGGAGACTAGAGTCCATATAGAAATACAATTAGGAAATAACTAAAATTCGGAATTAAAAATAAGAAATATTAGAAGTAGAGTATAGAGTCCATATAGAAATACAATTAGGAAATAACCGAAATTCGAAATTAAAAATAAGAAATATTAGAAGTAGAGTATAGAGTCCATATAGAAATACAATTAAGAAAAAAAAAAGAAATTTGGAATTAAAAACAAGGAATATTAGAAGTAGAGTATAAAGTTTATATTGGAATTTAAAACCAACTAAAATTCAGAATAAAAAGGAGCCTCCACGTTCGCTCTCATGGCCTAGAAATTCTCACATTAATCAGAGAAAAAAAAACGCATAGTCCATATAGAAATACAATTTAGAAATAGCTGAAATTCAGAATTAAAAAATAAGAAATATTAGAAGAGGAGACTAGAGTAGTTATTACACATTAGTAGTTTGGAAAAGTTATTACAAAATTTAAAATTATGTTGTTATTGTAATATATTTTAATAATATAATGAGAAAAATATGTGCTATTATATGAGAGAAAATATAATGATGCTAGCCGCGCAATCTGCGCGGGCCACCATGCTAGTTTATTATATATGTTAGCTTTAAGATGAGCTAATAGTAAGAAATGATCTATACTATTATCCTTGCTCTCATCACTGAAGTCAAAAGCTACATGCACGCACTGATCTGCGAGCAATGTCCAGGAATCATGCCACTGATCCATCGGGTTAATCGTACTTAAGTCTTATCTAAAATTCCAGGTCGTACTGTACTACTACTACTACTTTGCTGTTCTGTGGACAGTAATACCTGGAGCAGTCAGCAGATCACCATGGGAAAAAAAACAGTTCATCCAACTAATTTAACCAATTGGCAAGTTGGGAGACTTGATAATCATAAATTTATCTTGAAAAAGAAATGATGTTTTCTAGCTTAGATCAGCAGCCTAAGCTGATGTAGTAGAAGGCTGCGGCGTGTTCTTACCGGCGAGCACAGCCTCGCCGTTGAAATCAACGGCCGGGCAATTCTCAGGTAGAGCCACACCGATCTATTATACTCCTTCCGTCCCAAAAAAATCAACCTGAACGAAAATATGATCTCTTTACAATGAATCTACACAGAAGTCACATGTTAGTTTTTTTTTTACGAAGGAAGTAAGTTTTTAATTGTCACGCAAGGTTAGTTCCACCTCGCGCGACCGCAAGCGAGTCGTCCCGTGAGCCGCCGTCGCCATCGTCCTGGTAAGTCGTCGGCGACGGCAAGTCTCTGCCGCTGATGGTGCTTGTCGCGCAGTGCGACGCGACACGAAGTTAGCATCAGCTGCAGCGAAATTGAGAAACGGGAACATGTTTTACATAACCAAACCGATCAGTTCAACCCATATTGCGTTATGGGCTGGTCCAAGTGAAGCTCGTAGTGATTTCCTTTTTTTGGGCCAAGAACTCGACGGCTCGACAAATGGATAGTTGGGCCCATCTGGTGAACGGGCTGGTGCTAGAGTACTAGTGGAAATCTTTTTTCGAAACTTGTGAGCTAAGAATCAAATTCGTGTAGTAAAGGTCTAACC